TGCATGTGTGCATGTGTGCCTGGTTGCAGGTGCACGCACACCGCACTCATCTGTCTCCTCTCACCCACCGGACCGACCTTGCTCTGACTGCCGTGAGACGCCTCCTTTGCCGGCATCTTTGTGTCTGCGTTCCGCATGACTTTTTCCAGGGGCCAGGCTTAATGAGTACAGTGAGAGACGGAGAGAGCGTGTGAGCGCGTCCTTCCAGCCCTCATTCTCACCTCATGCCATGACACCCTTTCCCAAGGCCAGGTCAGTCCAAGCCAGGGCCACCTGGAGGCTGAGTGGCCTTGCTGGGTCTGGGGGAGACGGACAGGATGCGCCACCCTGAGTGCTCCAGGGCAGACTGCAAGAGCCACCTGGCTTCCTAGAACCCAGCTCAGTTTCGGTACATTTCACTCACCAGTCCATACATTAACTTTTATGCTCTTGATGCTTTGTAAGAAATCTGACAATTAGAGACGGCCCCTGAGAGCTCCTGCCCCAAATGCCAACTTTGCAGGTAACTTAGAACGGTTTCGGGAGAATGCCATGGGCAGGAAGGGGTAGATAACAGCACTTGAGAAGGAGATCCTGCGTGCCTAGGGGCTTTACCTACGGGGTGGCCAAGGTGCAGTGGTTGCCAGCACTGTCTCCTTTAGAAGGCTATGCACCCATAAAATCCATACAGGGCTCTCTGCCCTCCAAATGGCAGAACAGCTCCCAGATCCTAGAACAGCACCCCTTTCCAAAATACTTGCTTGTTAGAAACAGCAAGGTGTGAAACCAGCTATGCTGTGTTAGCAGTTTAGGCTCACTTGGTCTTTGTCATAATGTTATTAAGTACTCTTAGAGAAATATTTTGAAAATGAATTTCATAGTAATGCAGTGATAGCCACGCTTCTGTTGTTTTCTGGGTACCTGCTGTGGCTACATGTCTCACACTTATTCCTTCTCATCTAAACTTACCTTTAACAGACATGGAAATAGACTTAATGGGGATGGTTCATCTCTAGTGCTTTCCCTGCCGGCTGCCTGGGTGCTGGGCCTGAGCAGACGTGGTGACTGCACCATCGTTAGTTCAAGTCTGTCTTTCAGGGTGCCATATGGGTGTCCCTATTCCAGACAATCTTCCTGGACCCTGGTATGATTAACAGCTGATCTTGTGACTGTGGGCCGCTGAGTCAGAGATGCCAGCCCAGATTCTGATGGATGGCCCTTTTTCCTCCTCGCTAGAATGGATTTACTGGAAGCCAGGGGCTTCTACTGGTCAGGTTATTGGCATGTGTGGCTATCTTTTTGGCATTCTTCCAGCTCCATAAGTAGTATTGATGACCCATCTTGTCTTTCTGCTTGGAATACTTTCTTATCATCCTGATCTTTTCCCTTTTATCACAAATGTCCATTCAGGCAATTTGGATTTTTTTGGTCTTTTCTGACAAGTTTTAAACCTAATTTAGTTGTTGAGCAGTGCTTTTCTCCTGGCCCTTAACCCTGGGCAGCTCTGCAGGTGAGGGCCACCCTGCTGTTGGTGTATCAGTGGGTTCCCCGCACTCACAGTCTTCTTGTACCCCTATACCAAGCCTAGCTCTTCCCCTCTCTCCTGGGGCTGTCTCGCCTGCTCTCGGGAGCTGCTTGTGGAGACCACCGTACCTCAGCAGAACAATTTCCACTTAGGATCCTTCCCTTTTTAAAATGCTCTTGCTCACTCACCCTCCATCCTGCTTCTGGTGCCCCCAGGCCACTGCCTGTGCTGTCAGAAGGGCTCTCCCTGTGGCCTCTGCCTAGACCTTATCTTTGCTCAGATGGTAACCATTATAGGATGCTTTGCCTGTTTTTTTGTGGCCCCCTATTGCCTGTTGTTCACTTTAGTGTGTTCCTCATGGTCTCTCCTGTATGGTAGCTTCTGCCCACACCTGTTGCCCCTTTAGACTGATCCCTGCAAAGCTGGGGACTGAGGGTCTCCTACTAAAGAGCCAGGCCCCTCTTGTGACTTCTTCATAAATGAACTTCCTCTTTTCTCATGGTCTCCTTTCTGTTCATCCAACTGAATCTGCTTTGCTCTGGACCCAGAACCTTCTAGTTCATTAGTGCACACATCACAGCTTCGCCCCTGCTTAGTAGCATCATGTTGTGTGTGTGCCACTGCTGCAGTGGCCTGGTATTGGCGTCCCCAGCAGTATTCATTATGAGCAGCTCAGAGCAGGGGTGTTGAACCAGGATGCTGCTCAATCAGTGCTTGCACACTGTTTTGATATGACTCCCAGTTAGACAATTTGAGACTCAGTGCTGTCAGCAAATAGATGCAGCTAGACATGGAGCTAAAACAAACTGCCCTTGCTATGTGCACTCAACTCTTTATTGGTTCATTTAAAAAAGGCCACTACACTGAGTCTCACTAGGACTTTGGAGAATCCTATTCTGAACTTCCCTCTGTGAGGCTGGCCAGGGTGGGTTGGGAGCAGCCTCTTGGCTGGGCAATTTGTGTTACTGATTAGCCTGCAGGGCTTTTGATCAGTCAGCAATGAAAGCAATGTTACTCACGTCCAACTTCCTAACTTGGTTGCATGCAGGAGAAACTTTGTAGTGATCAGCTGGACTGAGCTGAGGAATCCACGGATTTTGCTTGACACTCAGAGAGGACTCAGTCCTTTTGTGGGCAGCCAGCCATCTTGCATGTGTTTTCCCATGTAGCCATCACAATGATCGTTACAGTCACTGCCATGCGATAAGCCTAGTGACTTGTTGAAGATCAAAGCCAGGCCTTAGAACTCTGTCTTTTTGTTCCTGAGTCTTAGCTCCTGCCGTGTCATGTGCTGACCCTATGTTGATAATCCATAAGTGAGCATGGCTCCTCTAGGGTGTTTACCTTTCCAGGACCCTTAGAGCGAGTTCCTCTTCTTAAGCCTGAACTTGGTTTGTCTGGTTGGACAGTGAGCTTACTGTGGATACCTAGGTGGCAAAAGGAGAACAACTAGGTTTGGGCCAGGACCTGTGGGGCATTCCCAACGTCATTCCATTCCTATTTGGAAATGCTACCTGGGATTTCAAGTTGGAGCAGGCCAGGTCTCATCTGTCGTTTTAATCATGCATCATTCGGTGATGAAACATTGCTGTTTGACCTCGCATCTGTGCTTGTTCTGTGCTCATGAACAGGCTGCTGTCAGGGTTGAAAGCTTTACTGAGACTGAACGTGAAGTGATCACTTCCCATTTCTGTCTGAGAAGCTACCTGCAAGAGTTCTGCGGGGAAATGTGGCTGCAGGACCAAATGCTTGGTGTCTGCCCCAGCTTCTCCGTTCTGACCTGCAGGGCAGGTCAGTGACATCTCTGGGTCTCTGCAGTCCCATGTGGGACTCTCTTTGAGATGCTCTCTTTGAGATACTCCTCAATATCATGTTCAAGGCCTTGACCTGTTGTTGTTACTGGTGATGGTCCGAGGTACTCACTGAAGAAACACCGGATATTTGGTTGTGGATCGGGACATTCACTTCCTTTGGTTCCTGCCTTTTCTGTCTGCTACTTGCAGACTGCAGGACTCCTTGATTGGCGTTTGGCACAGGAGTGTGCTTTTGTGCTCCATGTGCTCACTGCGGGCCCAGGGGAAACAGCTAATGGTGTGTACTGCTCAGGCTCATGCAGAGGAGGAAGCACATGGAAAGAGGCCTCCAAGTCTTGGGTCGTCTGACTTTGGCCAAGGTCTTTCTGGCCTTGGCATGCCAGTCAGGCCAGGCTCAACAGATGAGTAGCACTTTATGGGGTAGTTGTTTCAGTCCTCGTCAGGTGTGACATGCCCCAGAATTTTTCTCAGTACTCAGCTTTGATGGCCTTCCTGCAGTGTTGAAGATGTTGACATTCAGGTACTAGACTCTAAGCTTCTGCTGTGCTTGACATGGTAGGTGCTCTCAGAAGTTTGGATCCATGAGCCAGTGAGTGTGTTTTCTCAGTTTCAGGTAGTGAAGGTAATTTTAGTACATCATGGAACCACTGTAAGTCAGGGTGTGCAGGGGTGTGACCTCTAGCTGTGAGTATCCAGGTGAACAGAAACTGCCCCACCTATCCACTTTTCTTAGCCTCAGTATTTAGAGGAAATAATTTTTTCCTTTCTACTCTTTAGAACCCTCAGTATGCCTTTCTGGCTGAGTGAATAATTGCTTATGAAATACTCTTACCAACAATGTCCCTCTTGACAACTGGTGTCAATAAAATCCATCTAGCAGTTAACACTGCTTGATGATATGCTGCTTCTGTCCTCTTTAGTGGGTAGTGAGAGCTTAGATTCACTCCAAGTTTGTCCTGCCTTCACAACTGGATCATCTTCCCTGGGTGTGGAAGAAGGGTGGGGGTAGGGGTTCTGAGAACCTTATCTAATGGGCAACAAGAAAATACTGTCTTTTGATATTGCAGGGAGTTAAAAGCATGTGTACACACACACACACACACACACACACACACACATATACACACTCCCATAAGAAGCATCAGCTTGCTCTCTTGCACTCTTCTGTCTGGGTGTTTGGAATGTGGGTCACCGAGTGTGACTAAGCTTTTGTGGTTGCATCCATGGAACAGGTTTGTGACTCAATGGGTATAGAGGTTGCTCTTAGATTTCCAGGACGCAGCAAATTTATTTACATTATAATTTGGAGTGATGGCTTCCTGGTGGCCATTACAGCATCAGTTAAAATTTACAGTTTCCGGAAGACAGAGAACACACTTCTCACCCATAAGCAAAGGAGGCCTACACCAGTGTTGAGGGTCCTTACAAAGGGGGCGCTTTGATGACCAGACCCTTTGTAACTTCCTCACCAAGAAGAGAATGTGTAGGCTTCAAGACACAAAGCAGTGGTCTGAGCTGAGGGCTGTGGGACCTGTCTGGTTGGTGTTTTCTTCTTCTGTGTAGCAGGAAAGGCCTCCAGGGCATCATCCTCACAACAAATTTAAATGGCTTTCTCTACAAAGCAACTTTCTGGTGATAGCAAAATTGGCTAGGCCCACAGTCCCCTGGTTTCTTTGTCCTAGGAACATGAAGACAAGGCTGGAAGCCCGAGCAGACCGCCCTCCCCGAAGCAGAATGTGAGGAAGAACCTGGATTTTGAGCCACTTTCCACCACCGCCCTCATCTTGGAGGACAGACCCGCGTGAGTCTTAGGAAGGCTCTGAATTGTCTGCCTCGGCAGTAAGGCAGCTCGCCAGGCCCTTTTCATTAGAAAAGAACAGGGTCGGGGAGGGAAGAAGAGCAGCCATGTCACTTGTTATCCCCCACGTCAGCATGGGTCCTAGGGTGATATCACATGGCTATAGCATAGAAGTTTTATCCAGGCTTTTCCATTCAAGCAGTTTCTCTTTTTAGTTTATCATTTAAGAATACTTACGTAGCTGCTATAAATGCTAGACTGGTTTGTAACTGCACAAAGCCCTGGAAGTGTGCTCCAAGGTGTTTTGAAAGCATCTTGGTATTACAGGACACTACTCACGCTGGCCTTGCAGGATTCCTTGGGATCACAGTGTACAGGCTGTGGCTGGTCTTAGATAGGGCTCCTCTCCCTGGACCTCTGTTTCTCCACTGTGTGATGAAATCATTTGCTCCATTGTTCCAGGTCACAGCAGATCCCTTTCTAATGACTGAGGTTCCGTAGAACACTGTTGGAATAGAAGGCCTCTGCTTAAAAAAGAACAAAAAAGATACTAAAACATCAAGCTAGTTAATCCCTAAGACCCCTGTCCATTCCTGAAATTTAAAACAGGTGAAGTCTAAAGAAGAAGTCTGTCTCCTACTGTTAAGTCTTAGTTCTTGGAAACTGGGAATGAGGAAACTCTTAGGTGCAGGACTGGCAAGTTTGGACATGACGACCAGGCCTTTTAGTGCTCTGAAACAGGGACTAGGGGCTTTTTATGTTCTCAGCCAGTAGCAGTGGCTCAGAACCTCTCAGGTTGTGGCTGTGGTGTATAAGGAACAGGTACAGGCTAGACATGCCTGCCCTCCCATGAAGTCAGCTGCCATTAGTCCACAAGCCTGTTTCTGGAAAAGCACACATTTGTTTATAATGGGATGCGTAGACCTCTACTTTGTAAACAAAATAAGGCAAAGGAGCTACTGAGCTAATCTGAAACTTGCCAGGGAGGTATCAGTCACATGTGTAATGGGAGCTGTGCACACCGCTACTACAAGGGCAGCTGTTGAGCCATTAGTGCTTTGTGCCTCATATCACAGCTTCTTTGGAGAATGGGTGACAAAAATACCAAATGATTGTTTATTGCAGTTATGGGTAATTATTATTTTCTTGGTTCTGCTAATCTTTATACTTCAGTTGTTTTACTGTGAACATCGTGCATTTGTAAGAAAATATTTTTTGGTTTATGAAATAACTGTATAATTTAAAAAAAATTTTAGCTTTTGATCTTTGGCTATTACAACTTTTTTTATAAATAATGCTACAGGCTTTTTTCTCACAGACTTTTATTTGATATTTTTAATGGTGGAATATCATTTATTTCCTGTCAAGAAATCTGCCAGCAAAACCAGCCGAAGAAGCCCAGAAGCACAGGCAGCAGTATGAAGAAATGGTGGTGCAGGCCAAGAAACGAGGTACTGTAGGGACATGTCCAAATCTGTGTCTCTGGGTGTTTTCTTTTTACCTTTTGGAGCTGTAGAACCTCAACTCTGCTGAGTGTTTTAATGTTTTGAAATGTATGCTTTTGATTAAAAAAATTCCTGCTTGAGGCTGGGTGCCTATAATCCCAGCTGTGAGAGAGTTCCAGGAAGGAAGATCACATCTGAGGCCCCTGGGCAAGAAAGCTAGACCCTATTGGGAAAATAATTAAAGCAAGAGGGCTAGTGGAGTAGCTCAAGTGGTAGAGCACTTACCCAGCAAGTGAGGGGCCCTGAGTTCAAACTCCAGTACTGCCAGAAAAAAAAAAAAAATCCAAAAACATGCTTGTCCTAGCCATTCCTGGTAGCAAGGTAATAACACTTTGCACTTCCATGAGAAGACACTGAACAGGATGAGAATTCTTCACTAGAAGAAACTTCAGCCAATAATGACATGTGGATTTCTGTCCCTCTCTAGGGTGTTCTCTTTATAAGAAGATGTGATTAGATTTGATAAAATCCCTTGCAACACTTAAACTCTGATTCTAAGATAGTTAAAAAATACATATACTAGCTGGGCGCCACTGGATCACATCTCTAACCTTAACTACTCAGAAGGCAGAGATCAGGAAGATCACAGTTTGAGGCCAGCCTGGGCAAATAGTTTCTCAAGATCCTATCTGGAAAATACCCAACACAAAAATGAGCTGGTGGAGTGGCTCAAGTGGTAGAGTGCCTGCCTAGCAAGCATGAGGCCCTGAGTTCAAGCGCTAATAACGGGGAAAATAGTACCTATAATAACTAAAATGTATTAGAGTGATATGATGAGATATTATTCACCTTTTAAAAGGAAAGAGATTTTGACTCGTGCAACAACATGTTTGAAGCTTGAGGCCATCATCCTAAGTGAAGTGAGCCAGTGACAATAGACAAACACTGTGTGATTCCATGTATATGGGGCCCCTAAAATCCTCAGATTCATAGGGACTTTTCAAATACAGTGGAGGTTGGCAGGGGCTGGGGAAGAGGCACATGGGGTGTTAGTGTGTAATGGAGACAGTTTCAGTTGTGGGTAAGATAAGAAAGTTCTGGAGATGGTGGTGATGGTTGCACAACAACGTGAATGAGCTCAATAAACTGTGCAGTTACAGTGGTAAATTTCATGTTAGATATGTTTTGCCACAATAAAAAGTGTACAGTTGTCCTTCGCAGTGCATGGGGGAGCTCCCAAGCCCTGTGGATACCAGAAGCTACTGATGTTCAGGTCTCATATACACATGGATTTGCATTTAACCAATACAGATACTCCAGGGTACTTTTTATTTTGCTACTTTTTCGGTTGTTCTGGGCTCTAAACTCAAGGCCTCTTGTTTGGTAGGTAAGTGCTCTGCCACACGAGCCACACCTCACCCCAGTTTTGCCTTTGATTAGTGGTGAGAAGAAAAAATTCGTCCATTCTGGGTGCAGATGTAATTTTTTTCTCAAATGTTTTCAGTCTGGGATTGGTTAATCCCTGGGGTGGCACCGTGGGTGTGGAAGCTAACATGTGAACTAAATTCACAGCTTTTCTCAGAGTTGCTGTTACAGTAGGAGTAATGCTGAAGCTGTTAGGAGTGAGTACAGGGGTCACACTTGGGAAGGGGTAAGGTGAGAAGCACAAGAGTGGCTTCTGGCAGTGCTCTGTTGCTTTTTGTAGGATGGTTTCGTGGGCTTGACTATTTTGTGTTAATTGAATTGTATTAGTACTTGTATACATTTTTGTGTACATGTTACACTTAAAACACTAAAAGATGAATAGTGCTAAACATTTTAAAACCCATGGGGAGCTGGATGTGTTGATGCACACCTGTGATCCTAGCACTCAGGAGGCTGAGGCAGGATTACAAGTTCAAGTCCAGCCTAGGCTACATAGCTAGAATCTGTCTCAAAAAATAAGGTGGGCACCAATGGCTTACACCTGTAATCCTAGCCACTTGGGAGGCTGAGATGGGAGGATCACGGTTTGAGACCAGCCCAGTCAAATGGTTTGTGAGATCCCATTTCCAAAATAACCAGAGCAAAATGGGCTGGAGGCATTCCTCAAGTGGTAGAGCACTCGCTTTGCAAGCATGAAGCCCTGAATTCAAAACCTGGTCCCAGCAAAAAATAAAAAAGACAAAAACTCAAAAAAGAAAGTAAAACTCATGGGTGTGAAGTGAGCCTTGGGAGCTGGTGTTTCCAATGTGTCTCTTGGAGACACATCACCCAGCTTGAAAGTGGTGGGTACTAGTGAATTCATGCTTTCTTCTTAATGGTGGCTTTTAGAGCTTAAGGAAGCCCAGCGGAGGAAAAAGCAGCTGGAGGAAAGATGCAGGGTGGAAGAAAGTATCGGACATGCCGTGCTGACCTGGAATAATGAGATCCTACCCAACTGGGAAACCATGTAAGGTTTGGCTCTGTGGGCACTGCTGAACTAGGGGCCGGTTCTTTCTCAAGTCTGCAGGCAGCGACTGTACCTATACGAGCTTCTCAGGAAACTTTGATGGAGTGGCCTAAGTTCCCTTGGTCCTACCCTGTTGTTCCTTGCCTGGACACCAATAGCAGCTTCCGTTCATCTGCTCAGCAGCCTGAACTTGCTTTCTGTGTCACTTTCTACTTAAAGTTTCAGTGACTACTTGTGAGTCTCAGTGTAGAATTTGAACTCCAGTGCTTAGCTAGCAGGACTCTGTGTGAGAAGGTGTGCCCTGTGGCCTCCCCCTTCTCCACTTGGACCCACTTCTCTCCCTAGGGAGCCACCAACAGCAGTTACTGCTCTTCAGCCTCAGGACCTCCGCATGTCCTCCTCCCTGTGCCTACAGTGCTCTTGCCTTGGGCCTCTCTTTTTTCTTTGGTGGCACTGGGGCTTGAACTCAGGGTCACATGCTTGCACATGCTAGGCAGGTGCTCTACTACTTGAGCCACTCCACCAGGACCTCTTCATCCTGCTACTTCCCGTTTGTCCTCTCCAGCACAGTCCTCCCTAGGGAAGACTTTCCTGCCCCTTTCCCAGCTCAAAGTATCTATGGAAGACTTCCTGGGAGGCACTGAAGGTGTCTGCTCAGCTTTTGTCTTCTACTCTAAGGGCAGACACTGGTTGTCTTTGATGTCAGAGTCACTACAGGGTCCACACGCAGCAGGGTCTGGCAGCTGCGACATCCTCACTTCTGAGGGTCAGCCGCACATCTTGATTTCTTCCTGCATGGTCAGTATGGCTGTGGGCTGCTGTGGTAGCAGTACCGGGTCCCCGTAGAAGCTGGTGGGGAGTTTGAAGGCCAGTGTCCCTCTGCTCTTCTCTTTCATGGCACACTGCTGGGACTCATTCCGATACTCACTTGGTATTTCTGTCACTCTCACTACAGGGACCAAATATCCCTGTTGAGTCTGCACTAGGAGACCTACTTTTCTAGATACTGTCACTCTGGCTGGATGTCACCAGAAAACACTGAACACTTAAATGGGGCCCAGTAACAATGGCAGTTTCCCAGACCTTGCTGTTTGCCACACGGCCCTGGTCTGTCCTACCCTGCTCTGGTGGATGTGGTCAGGATGCATACACACAACTGCTGCTCAGTGCCAGGCACTGTTCAGGTGCTGTGGGGCCTGCCTCCTGCCTCCAGCTCTGCCGCAGAGCCACCTGGCATCCCTCACCCATGCCCGCCTATTTGCAGTCCTGCAGGACTGCAGTCTGGTCTGTGCTTTCTGCTCAGAAAGTCCTTCCTATCCTTTGTGTGTATAAACTGCAACTGCTTATTTAGAAGTTACTTCTGGAAGGCGGCCTGGCCCTCTGGTCTGCGGTACAACCTGTTGGTGAGCTCTCTGAGGGCAGGGTTGGTGCGTTCTGGTGGTATGGGGCATGGTGCGGGTGTAGACAGCCTTTCTTCATGGAGAACAAATTCAGAAACTTATGCTTCTGTCCTGTCCAGGTGGTGCTCTAGGAAAGTTCGAGATTTATGGTGGCAGGGCATCCCTCCGAGCGTGAGAGGCAAGGTCTGGAGTTTGGCCATTGGCAACGAGTTGAACATTACCCACGGTGAGTGGCTTGTATGACTTTAGATCCAGGAGTCCACTCCATAGGTCCTGGGGCCTCTTCTGTCCCTGTTGCCCTATTAGGAAGGACGACAGATACTGCCATGAAGCCAGGTCTTCCAGGAGAGGGCTGTTGGGAGGCTGGGTGCAGTGCAGGGTGCTTTATTTTCCTGAGAGTTTAGGGCAGATGCCCCAAATAGAAGATGGTAAACATGGGCGTCAGAACTTCAGTTGGGTGGGATAGGGCAGGACCACTCATCAGAGTCCTGCAGAAGGCAAGCCTTGATTGGACGTGAAAGTCCAGGTGCCCTTTGTAGTTGGGGTGCCTGTTGGTGTTTTGTGGGACGTTTTTTCAGCAGCATTGGAGTGGATGTTAGGACTGATGTCCTTAGAGCATTAGTAGCTGAAGTGTGGAGGAATGAGACTGCGCTCAAGGCTCTCAGCTGTGTGTCATGCTGTGTATCATGTGCTCAGTTTGCACGTGTGTCCTGGTGTATCCTGAGGGCTTCGTGGGACTGTGGGGAGCACACAGACTGAACATGAAGCCTTCACACATGGGAGTGGCTGCTTTCAACCATTTCCCTCCAGTCTGTAGGCTGAGCTTTGGAGGGACAGGTGGGCCATCCTGCTGTCCTTTCTGCCTGTGCACTTGGACGACAGTTTGTTCTCTGGGGAAGGCTTTCGAGTTTAAAACAGATTGGCTTGCACCTTCCCTCTCGAGTCAGGTCGCCATGCAGATCTTCACAGCCTGGTTTTTCCCATGACTGTGGCTTTGTCACAGGTGATGTCTCCACCTTGAGTAGTGTAACTGTCAGCTCGATGGTGACTGGCATCCTGAAGGAGGTTGGGGCAGTGAACCCTGCCAAAAATTTGTTTTATCTTTATGTGAGATGACATATAGCATGTAGCTTATGGAAGTATTTTTTTTTTCTTTTTTTCTTGGAAGTATTTTTTAAAAGCATCCTCAGAAGATGAGATATATAGAAGTTGGTGAGCACTTATTTTGCTCTGTGTTCTCGAAAAAGTTCTAACCTGTTATCAGCTACCCTATCTATGCAAATTGGTTGTTAGGCATAGAATTTTGTGTGTCTGTGTTTAATTTTTGGTTCTCACTGATGTCTGGGTTGATTTTATTTAAATTAAAACCTTTGATCTCAGTGAATTGGGCTAAATAAGCATCGAATTCATCATTTGGATGTCTGTCTACATCTTGATACTGACTCCATTTGTGTAAGCTGTGTCTGTCTTGAATGATTAGCTGCTTTGCCTCAGTTATCCCCACTAAAATGTGTTTAGAAAGATGGGGCCTCACAGCCTACGGTCTGCTTTGTCACCAGTGCCTGGCTCAGTCCTCCACACATACTTAGCAGGACCTCATAGGCAGATTTTTAAATTTTTGATTTATCATTCATTACCATAAGGGGATTTCATTGTATGCATACACTGTACCTTGAGTAAGTTCACTCTCTTCATTATATTCCATGGGTAAGATTTCCTAAGCTCTACAGTTTGACCTGCCTTGACCTGAGGCTGCCAGCCTCTACGCCATTCACTCAAATGTCTCACTTGGGACACAGATCCCTGGTGGGCATGGGCCACGTGGTCATTTTTGTCACCTTCTACCAAAATGACAAAAGCCCACCTCCTGGAAACTGAGAGCAGGCGAGGTTCCACCAGCTGCCTCAGCCACCAGCTTAGGACACCCCATGTTGTCCTGTGAACACTTGACTTTGTGGATAATGATGATATGAGCTTGTTTATATTTCGTAACTGTCCCCTGCCACAGCAGGCTGGCATAGATGGCGTGCTAGAGCCATTGTGAGGCTACACAGGGTCATTAATCAAGGTTTTACCTGTTGGCTTTTAATAGTGTTACTAGAGTTTGAATTGCATTTTAATAAAACCGTGAGCATTGCCCTGTAGACAAATGTGTTCTGCTTTATTTTTGGAAAGTAATGAGGAAGAAAATAAAGTGATAAACATTCTATGGTAACTTCAATTGCAGTCTCAGTGATTGGCTAGTAATCACCAGGGTTCAAGGACACCCAGGAGCAGGGAAGCATCAAAGCCAGAGGCACAGGAAGCACCTGGGGTGGGGTGGGTGGGGGAGGGTCCTGAGAGAGATCCAGTAAAGAATCGGAGGACATGTGCATACCCAGGGAGGTCTGTGTGTGCTAGCAAGATCTGTGAGCCTGAGTTGTTATTCAACTGTTACCAAACTGCCCCAAGAGAAGAGCTGTAGAAAAGGAGGTTCTGAATGTGGCAGAGGTTTGGAGTCTGTCATGACAGTTCTGACAGCACCAATCCTGGTTCTTTGCAAAGCTCTGCCTGTTCCTGGGCACCTGCTCTGCTGCCTCCCTCCTTCCAACGGCAAGAAGAGGAAGCCTGTGCGGGTAGCAGTCACATCATGCTCTTATTATTTGAAACTAGTACCCATCTTAGTCCTGAAAGTTGTAGTTCTGGAAGGTTAAAATGCCAAATGTTGAAATTCTGAAAATTTTTTTTCAGAATTTGGGATTACAAAAACTATAATTCCTATTAAGAAAAGACTATAGAAGAGAGGCAGTAAGCCAAATTCTGGGAAGAGATTGGCCATGCAACAAGATGAGGGCTAAAACTTCAGTCAAAAAATGCATTACTTGTCTGTAGTGGCATTTCTTCAAGCTAATGTGATTCCAGGAGCTTTGTAGGGATTAAAGCTGAATTTGCCCGAAGAAGCCAGCAGAGTTACTGATTAATCACATGGGGTGGTTTTCACCCTCCTACAGCAGGATAGTTTGATCACTAGCATTGTGGTCTGTACGTGAGTGTGAGTGAACTGGATGTCCATGCACCCAGAACAGCAGAGAAGTGTGACACGGGTAGGGACATTGCGTAGGGAAAGCTCATGTTGGTGTACTATGAGGCATAGAAGAATTTCAAAAAGTAAAATCACAGAGAATGACTGTGAGAACACAACTCTGAGGAGAACCATACCCTAAAGCAAGCAGCAGCCATCCACAGGAGCTGGCCTGTGGGTTACCTCCGTGTGGTTACCCAGGGCCTATCCTTGTAACACGCTTATTTCATGTGTAGTTTCTTTGCACTGTTTTCTTTCTTTTTTTTTAGTTTTCCCCCCACTATTTAAAATTGTTGGGGCTGGGTTTTACAATTTGTTCTGCCATGTGTTACATCTTTGTATCGTTTTCAGTACTGGACATATAACTTGTGCAAAAGCTTTCAGAGAGTTTTAATTTGTTTTGTGCATTTGTTTTTGCAAATTTGTCTCCATGAAAGTGCCTCGCCAGTGATGACTGTGTGTAGGCACGTGTGTGTGTGTGTGTGAAAACATTGCAGCTTCCTCAGTAAATGACAAGATGCCTTTTTTTGTGCGTCTGCATTTGTGAAAGACAAAAATCTCTTGGTCTTGGCTTTTTAGGTGACGGCCTGTGCAGTGGTGACCCAGCTCGGTGCTTTGTTTTTGAGACAGGGTCTTTGTAACCCAGGCTGGCTTGGATCTCACTTTGAAGACTTTGCTAGCCTGGAAGTCACAATCCTTGCCTCCTGAGTGCTGGGCATCTCATCTTGGTTTTTGATCCATCAAAAGGCTTAAGTTTTCCGACACAGTGTTTCAGATGATGGTAGTTATATAGCTGGATGCCCACAATTACCAACATAGCGATCTGTGCTTATACATTTCATTTTTCAGCATATTTTTTTATGAATAGATTTCATCCTCTTATAACTGTTACACCCACATGTCTGACCTTAATATACCTGAGGGTTTATGTTTATAAAAATATTGTTGCCTATTCTGTTGTGTAAAGTGGCCTATGTGTTTTTGTTTCTCAAACCGTTCCCCTATAAAAATGCTAAGAAATATCTTTGAAGAATTTTTTTGGTTTTTTTTTTTTTTTTTTTTTTCCCCCAGAATTATATTTTTGGGATTTTAGACTTGAGATATTTTTATCTTTGGGGATTTCAGCAGTCAGGAGTGTGATGTATGTTTGGGGCTATGTCTTTCAGGATTGTGACTCAAATTTTGAAACCAAATGGGCTGCTGCTGACCTCCTCTCCTCCCCTCAGGAGTCAGATAGTCATCAGTCAGTCTGTGTCAGCCCTGGGACCATTTGCTCTGCAATGAGTGAGACCATCTCAGACTCTGAGAGGCTTTACCCACCAAAGCAAATCAGAGCATGATATGGTGTAGGTGGGCAGCGTGACCAGAAGAAAATACCAGACATAGTGGTGTATGCATTGTTTTTCTTTGTGTATGGCTGTGTCTTTAATAAAATACATGCAAGCTGAGGCAGGAAGGAATTGTTCAAGCCGCCTGTTAAGTGTGTGTTGAGCCTGTTGCAGTTGAAGGAGATGTTATGTGTTCTCTGGAGTTTAGAGGAAAGTGTGCACGTGAGACTCACCAAGGATTTTCTTCCAGAGCTCTTTGACATCTGTCTGGCCCGGGCCAAGGAGCGGTGGCGGTCCCTCAGCACGGGAGGCTCAGAAGTGGAGAACGAAGGTATAGGGTGCGGGGAAGCTGGACACTGCTCTGGTAGTTAGTGATGGGGTGCTCATGTGGGTGGACTCCCACATGGCTTCCGGGAGAGGGGGTTTCTAAGGCAAAAATGGAAGGAATATAGCTATTAGGAGAGAGAGAACCAAGCAGTTCCTGAGAGGGCTCGTGTCCTAACACACAGGAGCACCGCTCAGAGCCATTGTCGTTCCTGTGGCTCACAGTGACTGCTGCCCAGGTCCACTGAGTACCGGCTCACAGAGAGGCATCAGGACTGTTTCACAGAGGCAGGAGCACTGCACACTGCTGCACAATGTCTTTAGCACCGCGGTACACACAGCACGACTACTTCAGCTCGTTCAGTATACATTTTAATGATTTTTAAAACACAAAAAGTAAAGCAGCCTCTTCGTGAATGTGTTAGTATTATGCAGGATGGCACTGCAGTATGTCCACAAACCCATTTTGATTCTCTTTGTTTTTAAATTGACTGAGTTGTTTGTGTTTGCTGTGTACAACAGACTCTGAAGCATACATACCTGGTGGATGGCTAAATCTACCTGACATATATTGCCTTGCACAGTTAGAGTTTTTTACAGTGAGAACACTTTCTGTCCGTTCCCTTAGCATTTTTCAAGGATAGACTATATAAGTAATCACCCTGTTGTGCAGTAAATTTCTTATCTTACTCCTCCTAACTAAAATTTTGGGTTTTTGAGTAGTATTTCCTCAATTCCCTTCCACCCACAGCCTTAGGCAACCACCAATCTGTTTTCTGCTTCTGTGAGTTCAGTCAGCATCTGCAGATTCTACATTACTGGGCGATTCACTTAGCATAACATCCCCAGGTTCATCCATGATACTGAAAAGGACAGGATTTCGTTCCTTTTAATGACTGAATAGTACTCCATTGTTTTTATTTGCCATGTTTTATTTACTCAGCCATTGGTGGGCAGTCAGGTTGACTTCATGTCTTGGCTGTTGTGAACGGTGCTGCAGTGTACATGTGAAAGCCGATGTCTCTTTGACACTGGTCTCATTTCCTCCAGATTTGTACTAAGGGGTGGGCTTGCTGGATCATATGTAGTTCTAATTTCAAAGTTTTGAGGCCACATGTGCTAAGTTCATCCAGTGATGTGTAAGATGAGATAATGATGTCTTGTCTTTTTCTGTACTTGGAGTTCATCTGTGTATATTCCCCTACGTGTCCTGTTTCTCCACTTGGTGTTGATGACAACATTTAGTCTTTGATCTTTAGACTCTAGAAAATAATCCAGTAGTACTCCGGCCTTGGCTGGTCCATGTGGTGTTTGCTCCCTAACGTGAGCAGCCCCACACCTGCTGCCCACTCTGCAGGTGGGCTCTGTCTGAGTTGGGATACAACTGAGTCAGTGGGATTCAGTTGGACTAGCGTACTTCCGAAGAACTTCCTCCTTGTTTCATGCTTGTGAAATGTCAGGCCTAGTAACTCTCCCACGCTAGAGCTCAAGGAGTCAGTGACTCTCCATCTTTTGACAGATGCTGGGTTTTCAGCCGCAGACAGAGAGGCCAGCCTGGAGCTTATTAAACTGGACATTTCCAGAACATTTCCCAGTCTCTGCATTTTCCAGCAAGTAAGTGGCAGTAATTTGTTGTAAGTATGTTCTGTCTAAAATTCATAAGGGCCGAGTTGCCTGTACTTGTGATTAAGCTTGAAAGTAGTTAGGTTTTGCGGGGCGGGACAGGTATTACTGTCAGAATCTTTCGATGTTTTAAAATACGTGTGACTGGTCCTTCCCAACAAATCTTCCTATAGCTGTACTTCTGCTTTAATGGAGATTCTGTCCTTATGAGATGCACGTGTTGGAACCTCTGGGTGATGCAGAAGGCCCAAAAGGAGCCGCCACGGTGTGATTTCAGAGGGGCCAAGGCAGCAAGCTGGGAGAAAGGGAGTGTAGCTAGGGCAGATGACTGAGCAGAGTGGGTGGGGTTTCTGAGCAGTGGATCAGGAAGATGGGGCACTGGGGCAGAGCCAACTGTAGGAAACAGACTGGAGGTGGATTGTTCTCTTTGGATGTCAGTAGTAGCAGACTGGAGCCTCCACATGGGTGTTGGAGCACAGGCCAGGGTAGGCAGCCAGCAATAGGTTTTGTAGTCCTCTGAGCAGAGCATACCTTCTTGTCTTTGAATCAGCTGACGTCCACCCAGGGGTCTGCTTGACCACTCCCTCATCCATACTAATGGTAATGCTAGCTCTCTTCCAAAACCTCTCTGCCCTCCTCTGAGCTCACTGCCTTCACTCTCATGAGAATTTTGTTGTGGGTCTCTTTACACCTGCCTCCCTTTCCTCTTCTGCCTCCCTTTTGCCTCCCTCCACTCAATTTTTGCCTCCAGAGTAGCCTTGGAATCTCTGGTCTGACTTATCTTGTCTAGGTTTCTAGCATGGTGCCCTGCACACAATGGCTTATCAGTAAACAGGATGGAATAAACCACAGCACGTTGGTTAAGTGACCACTGAGTGAGCAGGCTTGGCACAGAGTCCAGACCAGCTTTGCGGGAATGTGGATGGGTCTAGGCACTTTGACAGCACAGGGGAGGCACCATCTCTGGTAGTGAGCAGACAGTGCTTAGACAAGGTTTAATGCAGTCTGCCCAAGGAGGGCAGAGCATTCCAGGCAGAAACAGGACTAGAATGGAAGCATGGGACAACCAGTGTTCAGGGAACTCCCAGTTCTTTGTAGGAGAGAAAACCTTGCTGAAGAGTGAGCAGAGAGGACACGGCTCAGTCAGTGTAGCCTCCTTGGGGTAGGGGGTCACCCTGTTTTGAGTGGGAGCCAGCTGTGGGTGGTGGGGGATGGAACTGAGTAAAATTGCTCCTGTGCTGGAGTGGAGAGCACTAGGGCAGAGCTGTGGCACACTTGCTTGTGGCTGAGATAAGGTCAGGGAGCATGCCATGGCCAAGCACCTAGGGACAAGTGGCTTGGAGGACAGCAGCAACCTGAGCACCGTGGAGCTTGGGGAGGGGGATTAGGAGGATCTTTCTTCTGGGGTGGGCTGCTGCAGTGTCAGATGCCTCCTCAGCAGGGGACATGAGACCCTCTGTGCCCAGGGTCCTAAGACAAAGGGTGCCATGTCCCACCATGGATATGGTATCCTAGGTCTGTCCTGCTCCCTGCTTCCATTCCCACAGGGGCCTGCTGGATTGGGGCTGTGGTTTTTTTCACCATGCCCTGGCCATACTTGGCAAGGTGAGGACCTCAGTGGCGCCCAGTAGGGTGCCATTACTCTCTTGCTTTCCCCTGCTTCTTAATCCAGCTGGGGACATGCCTGTTAGGGTCTTCGAGAGCCTTTGCAAGAGAGGAAAGGGGGAGAATCTACAAAGCCACCTACAGATTTGGTCTTGGCACCTGGTCCATAAACCCCAGTTAGCACTGCTCTCCCTCCCTCTCTGACAGTCTCAGCTCCTTTGCTCTTGCGCTGTACACTACGGTTATTTCCTTGGGCCTCAGGCCACAGTATGCTTTGCAACCCCTCATCTCTGAGGTGCTCCTGGCTCTCACCCTAAAAGGCTTTGCCTGAGCCACGTGGCTGCATGGAGGGTTTGTGCACCTCTCACCAGCTGTAGGAGGGCCCAGAGACGCTGCTTTATGAGAGGATTTTGCTTCTGATTCCAAGTGGATTTGGGTATGAATCCCAGATTGCCTTCTTGCCAGCATTACTGCTTCCATGTCTTTGAGCTTCAGTTTGTGCATCTGTAATTGGAGGTGACTGTGGTAACCTAACAGGCTATTGGCAGTACGCGGTGCAGAGCAGAGATCCATCACTGCTAGTTATCAGTTATGTCTGAATGTAATATGAAACCAAAGACAACCGAATCTGACCAACAGCAGAACTTTTCATGTCAGGTGACCCAGAAGCGGGGTGTGGCAGGCAAAATAGCCAGTGAAGAGGGGAGCAAATAGAACCCAGAGGACAGCTGGGGCAGGGTTCCTGAAGCATTTTCTGTGTGCAGTGTGCTTGGAGTTTCTGTTGACAGAGGTTCCAGGGTGCCCATGATCTGCCCCCAGATGTCCCGGACGCCTCAGAGAGAGCTGAGGCCTTGCAAAGGCCTGTTTTCCATTCCTGGAACCCCAGAGCATTTTCCCTGGCTCATCACCTAAGACTCAGCTCCACAAATGTTGAGCTGAAGTACTGCTGAGAGCAAAGGATCGACTGAAGAGGGGAACAGGGGCTCTGGGGTCCGTTTTGATGGGTTCTTTGCATGAGGCAACCTCAGGGGTCCCAAGATTCTACAGCTCATGAATGAGTAATATGAAATCCAGAGGCCGGGAGGGAACTGAGATGCCCAGAACAAGTTAAGGGCACTAGGGTAAGGAGCTTCCAACTGCTGGCACCAGTGAGGAGGATCCTTTCCATCAAGGGCATTTAGCATTAAGAAATGATCGGTATTTCTCATCTCTTAGTCCTGGACCAGATGTAACTGCGTTACTGCCACTCTTATCCTTAGGTTGGTGGTTGGCTCTGCTGCATCATCCCCGAGCCATGGATGTTGTCATTTTTGCCTCTCATTGCTACTTTTTCTCTTCTTTTTGTGATTTGGCAATGTCTCTTCTTTTACTTTGCATTTTTAAAATGTCGGAGTGTTGATGGTCTGATCCCTCAGGTTCCTTTAAAAGCCACCCAAGGTCACCTAAGGAGTGACTTCTTAGTCACACGTCAGGAATATTTATTTCTGTGTTAACTGTGGGCACATGATAGGCATATTAGATTTGGGCCCAGCCAATCCCATTGTCATGTCTTCCAGCATGCCAACAGCAGTGTGAGGCAGCTCTGGGCTTTCTTTTGAGATCGATTAAGAGGTAAAATCTAAGATTTATATTTTTGGAAGCAGATATAGGAGCAAGTAGAAGTGTTGGATGGGAGAGTGTTTGAAATACAGTGGAAACTACTAAAAGCTAAGATTTAGTGTGTTTCTCAAATCTGCCATACAAGAGCCAAAGACAGTGTGACAAGTGGGGAAGTCTGAACAACCAGGAGTTACTCACCTGCTTTGAGGAGCCTGGCCACTGGCTCCCCTGTAGAACTAATATGGCAGGAACCAAATGAAGGGTCTTTTACTAGGGCAGGGCTTACACTTGATCTACCAGCTTTCTTCAGAGCAGCGTCACAGGGTGAGTTGCATCCGTCCTTGTTGTCTCCAGGCTAGTGGTTAGCTTGTTAGATTGCATAATGCTTCTGGAGCTGCCAGCGTCGTGTCTGACAGGTTCTCCTCTGAACAGCAGCTGACCGCAGGGCAGCATCGAATGCCATTCTAACAATACTTACACGTGTGTTGTTTTGGTGTGTCGCTCCTTCTAGGGTGGCCCATATCATGACATGTTGCACAGTATTTTGGGCGCTTATACTTGTTACCGACCGGATGTGGGTTATGTAAGTGACTTTTTCAGTCTTTTATACTGGTATCACCTACAAAGAAAGTCAGGTCACTGCGCAGCACATTTCAGCTGTCTTCAAGTTGAATGCCTTACGGTAAATGAGGTGACTCAGTGTCCTCAAAGAAATCGAGCTGATGTGGCTGCCCTGTGCCAGTCATCACATTTCACCTGGATGTGATGTTCACTTTTTGCATGCAACTTTTCCCAACATTGAATCATAAAAGCCTTTAGCAGTAACCATTTTTAAAATGTGTGCTGCTGACATTTCTGTGGCTTAGCAGATGCGTGTGCGCATGGTCTCACGTTAAAATGCTTACTATGCGGGTCTGTGGCACAGACTTCCAATGCAGAAGGCCAAAGCGGGGGTTGGCTATGGTTTTCCACTGGGGCCGGGCTGGAGGAGAGCAGAGCAGGGGCTCTGAAGAGGGTGGGGTGGAATCCTTGAGGCTGGCAGTTGAGCTGGGGTGGGTGGTGGCAAGGGGGTGGTGGTGTGGGCCCTTCTGGTGAGGGTGTCTGGTTTACGAGGTTTGGTCCTCTTGTTAAATGGCACTCACCGCCTCTCTCTCCTCAGGTTCAGGGCATGTCCTTCATAGCCGCAGTGCTCATCCTGAACCTCGATGCTGCAGATGCCTTCATTGCTTTTTCTAATCTTCTAAATAAACCCTGTCAAATGGCGTTCTTCCGAGTGGACCACGGCCTTGTGAGTATGCTCTGTGTACTGCCCTGGGCACTGTGTCCTTGAGCAGCGAGAGTTTCCCAGTCACTCTGTCTTTTCAGGGGAAAAGGTGCATTTGCCCTCCGTGAAGGGGGAGCACTGTAAGGTCAGGGTTATCTGTGCACTGTATCAAGCTCATGAATGTAAACAATGGTCGGTAGCCATGTGTTTGAAGGTGTTAGTGCATTCTCCCAGAGAGACAATACTCCTGAAAATTGTGCTTTCCTTGAGCGGGGAGGGTGGCTTCCATGCAAACACATGTCCTCCGGGTCAGGGAAACTTCACAGTAGCATCCACATTGGGGCTGTCACACCTCTCAGAACTGAGTCATGCACAGGAAGCAAGAGCAGGGGTAAGGCTGTGCTCCTGAAGTTTTGTTTTTGTTTTTGCTTTTGTTTTTTTTAAAGGCAGCGGGTTCTTTAGGGTGCTGCTGTAGATGGTCTTTACCACACCAGTTAAGTGGAAGGCGTTGACGTGGGTGGCCCTGAGGAACCCCGCCCGCCACACTTCGCAGCTGAGTCCTCTGAGTGGCACAGATGAGGGCAGTGACTTGTCCGTGATGCATTTGATATGTGGAAGAGCTGGGCTTTGGATCTGTTCTGGGTCCTGCGCCATTGTTATTTCTATAGCCTACAAGAAAATCACCAGTTCAGCGAATCCATCAGCTTTCAAACTAATTGTCTCCATTCCCTGGGTGTCACCAGTACTTCCAAGACCAGGCGATCTGATCGTTTCCATCAGCTGGGGACCATTTGTCCCTTAATATCTTAGGACCCCTGAGAGACCTTGCTCAGAAACTGCTTCTGAATTTGTGGATGTTGGGGAGTGTCAGCTAGCAGGGTCATTTGGAAGACGCTTTGCTGTTAAGTTTCAGTAGCTGTCGGCAGCATTGGTGCACAGCTCTGCCTATGCGAGTCCGTTCTGAGAGTCATGGATGTGGACAAGGCATTGTGCGTGGAGATGGTTGTTACATAACTACTCACCGTCATGAACATGAAAACAGTTTAAAGTGGGGTTAAGAGAATGCAGGTGATAAATGAAAGTCTGCAAAATACCCAGGGTAGTGAGGAAGGGTCTAACACACAATGGTATTTTTTTCAAAAATATGTAACATAGGACATATACTATAGTCCACAAAATTAGTAGTGCTTGTGAGTGAGCAGTTTATGGATAATAGTGCTCATGTACATCTGGAGTTTTGTGCAGTGAGCATGTACAGGTATTACTTTCATAATCGTCAGGAACTCACCTCTCCAAGGAAAACAATGGTCAGAAGTGGACAAAATCGTTAGGGAGATTCTCTCACCCTTGAAATAGCTTATTGATGTTAACATACGCTGGCTTCACGTTGCTTATGATATTAACTCCTGGAAGTAGTTCCTGGATAAAAAATTTTACCTTTTTTAGGGGGGCAAGGGAGACAGGGTCTTGTTATGTGGCCCAGGCTGGACTTGAACTCATGATCCTCCTGCCTCAGCCTCCCACATGTGCCATCATGCCCAGCTTTAATTTTCTGTTTATATATAATAAATTTATATATAAAAATTTCTACTAATTTTGAAGAATCCTCCTTTGTCTTTGGAAATGTAATAAAATCTCTACTTAGAGCCAGGCGCCAGTGGCTCGTGTCTGTAACCCTAGCTACTCAGGAGGCAGAGATCAGGAGGATCATGGTTCGAAGCCAGCCCAGAAACAAATAGTTTGCGACATCCTTTCCCAAAACTATGTAACACGAAAAGGGCTGGTGGAGTGGCTCAAGTGGTAGAGCGCTTGACTAGCAAGTGTGAGGCCCTGAGTTCAAACCCCAGCACCACCAAAAGGAAAAACAAAACTGTACTTAGTAATTTTAGTTTACATTTTCAAGGGGGAAAACAAACAAACAAACAAACTATACAGTTGTGCTGTTGAGTGAGACCTTTGCTTAGGGCAGGTTTCTCCCCAGAGCACTGGTGACCTTGGGCCACCCTATGTATCGGAGGGTGTTCGCAGCAGTCCTAGCTAGCCTCTACCTCCTAGTGCCAGTAGTCCCTCTTGCACTTGTGACATTGCCACATGTCCCCAAGGAGGCAGACCTACCCCGTGGGAACCACTGGTTTACAGTGCAGCCCTTCATGAAGATAAGTGAAGGAAACCAGACTGGCTATCTGCCTGGTGCATCTCAGTGAAGGGAGGCCCGGCAGCTCCCCAGGTGCAGGTGACTCCATCCAACAGGAGCTCTTCCTCTTCGAATTGCTCTCTGCTTTGTGAGCTTTGTTTTTTCACAAAGCCTGTGAGAAGTTGAAAAGAGTTCTGGCAAGGTCCAGACTTGACTGCTTCCTTTTCACAATGACCTCCCACCCACTGTGTTCAAAGTTCTGTATGTTGAAGCTGGAGCTGTGTTGCCCTTGCCTCCAATACCAGCTTTGCCTTCCTGCTGATGTGCTAGGACTTGACAGTGAGGCAGGCGTGTTCTCTTGAGAGCCCAAGGCGAGAATGAGCCTGCAGCCTTTGTGGGTGACAGGCCCTGATTTAAGTCCCAGCTCTGCCACGTTCCAGTGCTCTGCCTCTATTTAGCCAATTATGTAACGGTTTCAGTTATATTTTCTGAAGAAATAACACGAGGTGACCAGTGATGCTTTTGTGAGGATTAGAGGTGGTACGTATTTCTCAGTTTGCCTGGATAACCCTTAAGTGAGTTGCCATTCAACATGTATACCACTTGCGTAAAGAGACAGTTGTTTGGTTCTAAAGGTATAAATACATTGACTCTTTTGTAGAGTGGAAATTTGTGCTGACAATTGGTTTATTCGTGCATCTCACATTATCTCCCTAGATGTTGACTTATTTTGCTGCATTTGAGGTATTCTTTGAAGAAAATTTGCCGAAATTATTTGCGCATTTCAAGAAAAACAACTTAACTCCAGACATCTACCTGATTGATTGGTAAGACTGAGTTTTCAGAGCATTTTCTCATCCCACTCCTGTTTTCCTCTGTGTCACTACCAGCTTCTCTGCAGGTTTGGCTGAGCCCCAACTCTTGCTTCCCAGCACCCCTCCGCCTGCCCTGGAGGTGCCCTTTGTTCTCGAGCTGTGCCCTATTCGTTGTCTGCTTAGTAGGGGGTGTGGGAGTTGGGAGGGGGTCCTTTTGATCACCATCTGTGACTCTATCTGGTCTCCTGGACTCCATCAAGGGAGAGATGGTGTCTTGGACCTATTTGTTTTCACAGTTCTATTTGTCCATCTATTAAACAAGATGTCTCTGGGCAACAGGTCTATGCCAGTCCCTCTGCTAGGTGCTTGAGGTGGGTGGGGAGCAGGGCACAGCACTTGGCCTGCCAGTGGCTGCTGTGTCATAGAGATGAGCTTGCAATGTCTGGCAGGCATTGGAGGTAATGTGGAGGCTTGAGCAGGTGAGATGAGGGGAAGCAGCATGTGGGGCCCAGGGTTAGCAGGAGGAGCAGCAGTAGCTGGTTGTTAGGGCCTAAAGTAAGGATGGCAGGTTGATTGTTTGGGGGTCCAGGCCATGCAGGTCTCAGAGGACAACCTGAGGGCTTGGACAGGATTTCAGGGGCCTCAGAAAACATTTCAGTTTGTGCTTGGGGTGCTAGTGAGTTAAAAGTAACTTGAGAGGCAGGAGGCCCTGGGGCAGAGAGATCAAAGAGGGAAAGCCGAGCAGGTGGAGAGTAGTTTGCAGGTCTAGGGACTCATGGTCGTTGACTCACCAGAGAATTGTAGTACATTTGAGCATTGGCCACGGAAAGGTTGCTGGTGTCAGCAGCTGAGATCAGAAACGCCTGAGGCAGATTTTACTTTGCACATGAGGGTTTCCTGGTGTTGTGGACATCTGAGTAGAGGACTGAGACCTTCAAAAAGAGGCTCGGAGAGCTCTGCTGGAGCAGCAGCATGTCTTTGTGCAGAGCTGGCTGTGCTTGCTGAGGAGAGGGTGGCTGTCTCTCCAGGGCACCAAGTGGAGGGCCAAGTGAGGTCCAGGAGACCTGAGTAGGCATCACTCTGTGGAAGAGGGGGCTGATGGCCCCCACACTGTGTCATGGCCTTGGCCAGGGCATGAAGTCCCCCTGAGCCCTGCTTCGCTCATGTGGAAACCACGATGATTGACCTTCCAGGGCGTTTCAAGGCCATCAGCCCCTGGCTTGGCAAAGTGGCTCTCCAGGAGAGAGAAGATGTCACTTTGAAAGCCTGTCTGATTTTGACACGGACTCACAGATGAAACCTACAGCTGCTGTAGACAGAGAGTTGGCTGGTTAGGGTTTTTCTTCTCACTTTCTTCAGGAGCCAAGAGGCCTCCTACAATCCAAGACAAGGCCAAACCCCCTTGATGGAGCAGACCACCTGAAGCCTTGCGAGTGAACACTTGCTTGGCGTATACTGCTCTGTCTTCACCCTGAGTCTGCTCCAGCTCTACTGGTTGTGTGGACAAGGGCTCAGAGGCTGGAATTTTGAGCCAGAGCTGTAGGGCTGAGCAGCAGTAAACATGAGATTGTGGATTGGGCACAGGTGGGGACCTTCGGCTGGCTCGGTGTGCTGTGGAAGTGCTTGGGGCAACAAATGATGCTTCCTCTACCCTCGTGAACGTTTGCCTTCGCAGATGGCCTCTTGCATCCCCATTTTTGCACTCATAGTGTGTTTTATTTTTGACAGTACTGGGATTTGAACTCAAGGCCTTGTACTTGTTAGGCTAGTGCTCTACCACTTGAACCACAACCCAGCTTGCTTAAGGTTACTTTTCAGCAGCCTTGGCCTGATTCTCTCATGTATGCCCCCGAGGTGGCCTATTGCTGATGAAAGCTGGCTGTGCTCTAGAGTGAGGCCAAGCAGACCACTGCTGTGCACGCAGTTCCAGTGCAGGCTGGGTCTGCAGGAGCCTTCTGTACAGGCTGGACTGAGTTTGAGTGAGGTGCTGGTTTATTCTTCAGCCAATGTCTGCTGATGGTCTGCAGTGCTCCAGGTTCTCTGTTGGGTGCTAATAGGTGGAACACTGATCCAAAGTGAGAGGAAACAGAGGGCAGGAGCAGACCTTGCTCAGGCTGAGCCCAGAGGCTGCTGTTTAGGAAGCACTCATTGCTTTGTTGCATTGTCACAGTGCCCAGAAGCAAGTGTCCCTATGTCTGTGCACAAAGGATGTCCCTATGGCTCACTCACCTAGTGTCCCCTTGCAGTGAGCAGTTTAGGTCAGCTTAACTCCAGAGCCCTTGCTCTGGAGTTGTCATGCCACCTTCCCAAAGCCACAATCACACTGGTAATGTCTAGGCCTGTCTTGAGTCTCACGTGTCTGTGGTCTGCATGTGTATGTGGTGTGTGTGAGATGACTGATTCCAGGGCTCAGATAACCAATTGCCTGGGTGGAAAAGCCTTCTTGTTTTCTCCCCAGTAGGGCCCGAGGGCTGTGTGGCTTGGCTGGGCTCCGCAGGCGCCCAGCTGAGACGCTTCATTCAGGGTGAGAAGACCATCTCCCATCTCCAGCACCAGCCACGCTCCAATGTGTCCATTCCCCACGCTGCTGCTGCATTCAGAGCCTTGTGGGTCACCTCTGTGTTCTCAGAACTGGCACTGTGCTCAGCTCAGATCCCAGGCCAAGGCACCTCTGTTCCCAGGGCCCCTCCTGGTTTGAAAACCTGGCCTGAGGCCCACTGGGCAGGTTGCTTTATGCAGCTTGCTCCTTGTAGCTGTGCACTGTCAGTCCCGTGGGGCAGAGCTCTACAGTGGGAATCTGTTTACTTGCCCATACCACCCTCTGCCTGAGAGCGCTTGCTCTGCCATGGCTTGCCCACCCCCCTTTTTTTTGTTTGCTCAGGGGGCTGAAACTTCAGTCCTCCTTTCTATACCTCCTTTGTAGCTGGGATCAAAGGTGCCCACCAGCATGCCCAGTTTGTTTGTTGAGATAGGTCTTGCTAACTTTTTGTCCCAGCTGGACTCGAACCTTGATCCTCCCAGTCTCTGCCTCCCAAGCAACTAGGATTACAGGCATGAACCCCCTCGCCCAGCCTTGTCATTCTTTCTGATGAGAACAAAGGCTCGTCAGATGTGTTTGTCCTCCTACAGAGCTTTGAGTATTTCAGCTGTCGAGGAGCCACACTTTGTAAAAGGACTGACATGAGGTCATCTAGCATCTCAAAATATTTCCCAGTGCTGTCCACTGGCAATATTTTTTGGAGGCATGAGTGGGTTTTATATGCCTGTTCTGGATCACGGCAAATGTGCTGAGATGATGTTGACTGCTCACACACCGGAGGACTCCTTGAGGGGTAGGGTTCTGGGGAAATGATTGTTGGCAGCTTTGTCTCCCATCGCGGCCTGCACAGTGTTCGTGGGAGCTCTCTGCGCGTGGGTTGTGATCTGCCTGGACTCCCTCAGAGCAGGAGCCGCGTTGTGGGCTGGGTTCTCCAGAGACACAGGACCCCCCTGCACCTCCAGGAGCTCGTCCGGCATAGGTGGGTCTTGGAGTGGGGAACCACGTGCAGGATGTGCACCCCTATTTTGATGCGGGGCTCATGCATGCACTTACAGTGCTGGTACAGGAAGGAGGACACTGCTGGGCTCAGGGTAGGGTTATAGCAGGGCTCAGTGGCGGGTGTGTGGGTCTGACTGCCCTTGGGACCAGGTGGGGCATTGATGGGCATGGTGTGTGTGCTTGAACTGAGCCTGAGGTGTCCACCTCAGCTTTGCATACGTACAAGTCTGTACTGTTTAAGCCCTAGAGTCCAGCGAGGCCGAGTGGCCCTTGTTCTTACCTAGCACCCCGTTCCAGCTGAGTTTCTTAGGAATACAGGGAGCCTGGGTGGGGTAGTGGCTGAGGGTGTTCCTGAACCTAGTGCTGGGAGAAAAGGCTCATTTCTAGGAGCCAATCAGTCTGGGAAAGTTGGGGGCAGCTTGAAATTGGTGGCCTCGGAACCTGAAGGTGCAAGGCTCCAGTTGTGACTTCTCGATGCGTGAGACTGCCGGGTGACATTTGTCTTCTACTTTAAGCTGAAATCTGCTCTTCCACCACCTCCCTTTGAGACAGAAAGCTCATGCCCCTGACTTACAAGCAGATCACTGGTGTGGTGTCACATTCTGGTGGAATCTGTTATCTGAAGGAGTCACAGTGAGGAAGATTTAACAGCATTACGTCCTGGCTGAGTCAGGGCTCAGCGCCGACTCTGTAACTGCAGGAGAAAGACAGGTCTGCAGGGGAGTGAATTCCAGAAGGAATAGGCAGTTCCCCCACCCAGTTGGGATAATGAGTGCTGTTGTTGATGGGGAGGTCACATCTATAGAACTCTAAGGCAGAATGGGAAGTTGTTTACCCACATGCTTACTGTGGCAAGTAGCAGCAGTGGTAGTGGGATTGTGGGGGCTGGTGACGCTGTTCTGTACAGTGCAGCGGACCTTCAGAGGGAGTATGGGCCGGTGTCCTTGGGACTCTGCAAAGGGTCCGAGTCAGGGCGGTTTTCATGGCTTCTGGCTGGAATCCCAGACTCTTTCTCAGCACCATCCCAACCTGACAGCCTTGCCTTTCCCTAGGATCTTCACCCTGTACAGCAAGTCCTTGCCCCTGGACCTGGCCTGCCGTGTCTGGGACGTGTTCTGCAGGGATGGAGAGGAGTTTCTCTTCCGCACGGCCCTGGGCATCCTGAAGCTGTTCGAGGATATCCTGGCCAGGATGGACTTCATCCACAGTGCCCAGTTCCTGACCAGGCTGCCTGAGGACCTGCCGGCAGACGAGGTGTTCGCTGCCATTGCCACAGTCCAGATGCAGAGTCGGAACAAGAAGTGGGCACAGGTGAGTCTCCAGTTCTCTCCTCACACAGTAGTGGGTGCAGCCATGTGATTTGGAAGTATGCCGCTTAAGGTGCCCTATGAGAAGTGGTCCTCTGGCTGTGGATGTGCCGCCTAGCTGTGCCTTGGGCATCCACTGGGACTCTTGTCGGCTGTATGGGTGAGGGTGGAGAAATTGCCTCCATTCTATAGAGGCACTAGGAGCATCAGAACTTCTGGGTCACCTCTGTGGTACTTTTTATGCACTAGAAAGCATTTTTGTAAAGCAAGCCATCCTCCTTTTAAAATAATGCCTGAGACGGAAACCCCTGCACGGAGCTGTGCCCTGTGGCAGACTTTGTGTACTTGTGAAGTAGGGGGAATTAAACCATCTTACTGAGCCGAGAGGGAGGCCCAGAGAGGCAGCAGTGACCAGAGGAGGCATGGGCTTCTCCCAGTTCTTCCCTTCTGATGTGTTTCAATGGCCCCCTGTCAGCTGTGTTTGTCTGAACAGCTCTGGCCTGGCCTGCTTCTCATAGGTCTTGCCCCTGTGGCATTGGCCAGTGTTGTACCGCTCCATACCGAAAAGGAAAAAAGCTGGCTGTGGCTCTTATTCCTGCACGTGCTCAAAGCTGTCCTAGGTAATCCATGGCTGAGGAAGCTGCTGCTTGTACGTAGATGCCAAACAGCACCTGTTCTTGATGTAATGTCTTTATTAATGGAAAATGTAAAACATACAAAACTAGGAAAACATCGAATAGGAACCCATGCACCCGCCACCCTGCGTCAGTAAATGTGAGGCATGGGCTGTCCTCTGAGCTGTACCCACCCAAGTCTCCCGTGTCCTGAAGGGAGTCCTAGGCAGGACATCATCTGTAAGTGCTGTGCACTTCTCTGCATAACTACCTTACTGTTATCACTCAAAGTGACTGAACCCTTCCTGTCATCAAATAGGGAGCTTTCAAGTTTCTGAGTGCTTCAAATGCCGTAAATGGCTTTATAGTTTGTTTGAATCAAGATCCAGATAATGTCCATGCATTATGAGTGGGTGGGAGATGTTTAAGTCTTGTAGAACATATGTGTTCCTCCACTGTCTCCCCTTACACACCTTTCTTGTTCCCTTTGTGGAAGAAAGCAGGCCTTTGTCCCTGGCCTTTCCCACAGTCTGCATTTCTCAGGCTGGATCCTGCGGTGGGGGCTCACAGGTACCTCCTCATGTCTGTAAATTGACCCAAAGCCTTCATTGGGTGTCATTTGTTGATGTGTTTGGCAAGATACTTTCTGTGTAGTCAGGCTATCCTTTTTTTGAAGTTAGCAGCCCGTTTGTTCCATAACAGCTTTGAGATTTATACACCATGCTGTGTATGTGACATAAATCCCGCCCTTTTAAAGTGTGTGATTCAGTGCCTATTTATTTGTTAACCAGAGAGAGATTTTTCCCTCCTATCTGGACCTTCGGTCAGGCTGTCCACATGTCCTATCTATCTCTCCTGTCTGGCTGGCTAGCAAACTCCCTTCCTCCTAGGGTCTCTTGGGAAAGAAGCTGCTGGAATGTGGCCTAGGGTCACACTGGGAAATGCTCTCCCAGTTTTACCAGCTGGAGGGAGTTCTGTTTTGCCATGTGAATTACATTTCTGAATTAAGTATATTCAGTTCATAAAAAGGAGTGAAGCACTGACATATGCTATGACATGGGTGAACCTTGTGTTGTCACACTAAGTGACAACAGCCAGGCACAGAAGAGCAAGAACACAGAGAATGCTTGCATTCATACACAGGGGCACCTGTGGAGACAGGAGGAGAGCAGTGGTCAGCAGGACTGAGGATTGAGAAGGAAGGTAGAGGAATAGGGCAGTGCTGGCTAGTTATACAGCTTTCTTCTTGAGGTGACAAAAGTGCTCTAGACTTTAAATGGGTAGATTATTTTTCAATGAAGTAGTTAAAGTGCACTCCGCTCACATGTGGGCAGTTCTGGCTGTCCAGTCACCAAGGACCAAGGGGCAGAGGAGGACCTTTCTGTGGTTATTTCCACCATGAGTGGAAATGTGGGACCCTGGTTTTGAAAGACACTGAGAATTTTAAGGTGGTAGCAGCAGAATGTTAAGCTAAGCAGGACCCTTTGAACGCTGAGGCGGGGGCCGGGGGAGGAGCACAGGCTGCACCACCATGAAGCTGGGCCTCTGTGCAAAGGTGTGCTTTTGGAATCTTCCAGGCTTTTTGTTTATGGTGACTTTCTGAAGTCAAGGCAGAAAGCCAGGCGTTTCCTGTGGCTTTGTTCACATGCAGGACTTTACCCACCCGACTCCTAACTTGTATATTCTCGGGCTCCTGGGCTTCCCTCCCCTTCCTTTCCAGGTGCTTCCTGAGAGAGAGGGGCTCCTATCCCACCACCCCCATCCCTTGCACGCTTGTTCACATGAGGATATTCACACGTATGCAGAGGGAAGGATTAAGCCCGATTTTGCCTTCATGCTTCGTGCATGTTAGGGACTGGGGAAAACCACTGGATAAAGCTATGTTGGGGTTATTTGAATAGCATGGAGGTTTCTAATTCGTAGGGTAGTGAGCGGAGTCAGCCCTACAGGAGCACGAGCATCTCATTTTACACGGCTCTGGTCTTCGGGAAGTGTGCTCCACACCTGTCTCTTAGGTTCTACTCGAGTTCTAGACATCGGCACGCCTCTTCAAAATGAGCAGTGTTTGTGCTCAGTCAGCAGTCCTGCCTACTCAGAGGTGGAGGAGAGCTTTATTCTGCTCTTCGTCCCTTTGTGTAACTTGAAACGCACATAAACTGTTTCTGCTTCACCCCGATCATTTGTGACTCAGAGTGACAGTGCCACCCCGGGCAGGTAACTACCGTGCTGCCTAGATCTCATGGATTTGCAGCCACACAGCTGGGTTTGAGTCCTTCCAAGCTGTTGTTCAGGCCCCTTGCATGGGGGTGCTAAGCTTCCCCATTCTACTGTGTAGACTGAGACTTTTGGGCCTGAAGCCGATGGCTGGGCCTTGCCTTTTGCTCTGCTCAGTCTTTGAGTATCACTGCTGTTCGGCAATCACATGTGGTAGGTTTTTTATTTTTATTTATTTATTTATTTTTAATAAAGCTGTTAACCCAAAGCTGTGAGAGCAGAGGGGGAGCAGAGTTGCTCTGGCCTCGCTCAGGAAGGTGACTGAGAAGTGCTGACATCTGTTTGGCCCTGGAAGGTTGCCAGCTTCCTGGAAAAGGGGACAGGCTGCAGGAGCAGCAGTGTGTGAGGCACAGGGATGGAGGAAAGGCAGGGGTTGGCGGCAGGCTGTGGAAAGAAACAAGCCCCACAGCTCCGCTCTGCATTGGTGCTGTGGCTGTGGGAATGGGTATAGACTAGCCCAGAGGTGCCATGGTTGGTTTCCGTCTTAGGAAGGTCACATGGATGCAGATGGGAGGCATCCCAGAGGGGAGGCAGGAGGCAGGCGTGGGAGTGGACGAGAGCTTGGTTAGGAGGCACGCTGGTTCTCTGCACCGTTCCCAGAGTGTCAGGTTCTGTGCATCTTGCAAGTTAACCACCTCTGTCTTCTCTGTCATTCAGGTGCTGGCTGCACTGCAGAAAGACATCCGGGAGATGGAGAAAGGAAGCCCGTCCCTCCGACACTGAGGCATCGCTCTGCATAAAGCAGGTGTCCGGATGAACCTGTGAGCTTTCAGACTGACACCTGGTGGCAGAGAACAGCAGGGCTCTTTTCATGTTGGATTCCCAAATGCTGGAGTTGGCCTTAACCAAACCAAACTCAACACAACACAACAAAGCAGCTTTTAGAGAATTAAACCCAGGCCTAGCCTTAAGCAGCTCAGTGGACTGACGCCCTGGAGCTGGTCATGGCCAGCCACCGTGTTTTCCAGACGGGTCAGAGGCAGGGCAGTGGTTGCCTCCTCCCTCGTCTTTATTTCAGCAAAAGTCAATTAAATTGTAATGCTGTCATGCAGCTACTGGAAAGTACGTCACAACCTTTCTTAGACAAGACGCATGTTACTTGGGAGACCTCAGAGATGTTATTGGCTGGTGTTTTGGATATTTTGGTATTGAGATAATCTTTCCAGAGCTGGAAGTTATGTTTTCAAAACCTACCTACCAAAGAGTGGAAAGGAATGTGGGCCCTTGTAGGCTAGTTGCTGGTGAGTGCTCCTGGGATGCCAGGAGTCCACCTGACCTTCGTGTTGACATTTGACCATGTTATCTTGACATGTTACAGCAGAAAGGTGGCTGATGCACACGAGGTTGTGGTGAGCACCTGCTTTCCCAGATCGCTCCCTGCACCTGTCAAGCCACATTGGAGCCAGGGAGCCACGTGCGGAGATGGCCTGTGGCAAGAGACAGGCCTGGGGGCTGGCAGAAGCACCCTTTTAAGGAAAAGGGTAGAAGGAAAGTATGACAGCTGCTCTTCCCACCTGCTGTTTCCAAGGAGGCTGGGGTGTGGACGGGCGCTCCCTTGCTTTTGCAGAGTGGCCCTCTCTGCCTTTGATGCCTGAGCAGCCGGGTCTGGCCTAAGTGCCAGTGGTCCCCCACACATTTGGCTTTAAAAGATGTGCTTGACACAGTATTGTAGGACTGAGGAGTGAGCAGTGCATGTCTAACAGCCCAGGCAGGTACCAGGTTTCCCACTCTCTCTACCACTGGCCTTCCCCAGTTGAGCTGATTTTCTAAGTTCATTGGTGGGTTTTTTGTTCTAAGTTTTCCTTGACTTTTTTGAGAACTTTGTGTAAGAAATTCACAATGACGAACTGTTTTTGCATAGAACAGTCGGACAGATAGGCCAGTGTCTGTGGAACCAGGTTCTCAGTGGTAACCCACTGGCTGGCTGGTCCTTGGGCTGCAGGTGGGCAGAGTGGAGGGCACAGTCAGCATGGTGAGGACCTGTGTGGCCTGCATTCCACAACTTCCTCAGCCATCCTGCCCTTCCTGGGAACACCCCTTCTCTGAGCTGGTCTCTGATGTCAGGAGCCCTTGGCTCTGACAGTGACCTATGCAGCAGGGAAACCTAGGCTGGGTGGAGAACAAAACAGCATGTTCATATGAGCTTCTTCATCTACTGTTCCCACTGGTGGTACTTCAGGTCTGCTTTACCCCCATCCCACTCCACCACGTGCCCTTTTTCCCGGAGTCTTCTTTCTCATACTTCTCACGTGGCTTCCCCAGGGAGGTTGCAGAGCATCGTGGATACCGCTTCTGCCTCAGCCTTAAAACGCTGACTTGCCCGACCTCTAGGAGGAGGCGCTGTCTTTACCAACAGTCCAGCAGCCTCCAGATGCAGCCATTCCTGACTGAGATGTTGAATGTAGCCTAGGCCCAGCTGGCCTGTGTGAGTGCCCAGCCTGCGCATTGTCCTTCCTCACAGATGGACTTAGTTTTGCTCCACGATGTGGACGTTCTGTTGTTTAAAGATGTATATATTTTCTTACTGTATATCGAGATCGCTTCGTCAGAGGGTGAAGGGGCAAGGGGCCTTGGGCAGCTAGTTTGGAATGCTGTTGGGAAACTCCCCGGGGTTCACTACCAGCTCTCACCAGTTCTTGCTCTACGGTTTGATGTTAATCTGTGGGTATGTGTGAAGTTTCCCAACAGGACCCTGGGCCAGTCTGGAGCACTGACTGAATTCTTAGTCCAGACAAGGTTTTTATGGCCTGCTCAGGGATCCCACGAGCTGGGGGTGTCCTGCTCAGAGGCTGCAGAGTTCAGAGTCCTCATCCAGGGTCACTTGGCCCCTTTGTGTTGAGAGCCACTGGTGAATGCAGCATTGTGCTTCTGTCTGTCACTGTTGTTAGGGTGAACTGGAAGCATAAAAGCTTGAAATGTGTCCTGAGGAAGCCCACACTTCCCACCTCAGGGGCCAGTGGCTTTCCATCCCAGCATTCAGGCTCTGGGCGCTAGCACTCTCTAGTGGGAGTGCAGTCTGCCTGCCTGCCTGCCTGCCCGCCCGCCCACGCGCAGCTCTCAGTGGGAAGCAGTGTTCACTTCCGAGGTACTTTTTAACTGCTCAGTTTTTGACCATTTTAAATAGTTTGCTGATCGAAAACTCCTGATAATACTTGCTACACATCATGTTTTAATTGCTTGTACAGTTAACCTTTAATTTTATTTAGTAAAGTGTATCAAAGTAGGCCTTTTTGAATTGTAAATACGTGGTTTTATTAAATAAAAGTCATGTAAAATTGGTAAATTGATGTTCATGTTCACTGTACTTTAAAGTTAAAATTCTTTGGAGCATGGCAAAAATTTGACCATTACGCTGCTTGAATATTTAAAGTTTTACTTACTGGACTTACTAAAAAGGACAGTTCTGGTAGCTTCGGCAGGAGGTGTTCAAGAGTTCAGCCTACCCCTGCCAAGTACCGGCCCCTCCCCTCCAGCCTAGCCTGCCTGTGGCGTTAGCCCCTGTGGCGTCTGCCACACCCATCCCAGCATTCCTGAGAAGCGTGTAAACCAGCAAGGTGATGTGGACCCCTCAATGTGAGATAGCCAAGAAGGTGGCCGTGTGGCTGGGAGGGTGCACGGCCACTTAGAACCCAGCAGGGCAAGTGCTTAGTGACCAGGGACTTCCTTACAGCTCCCCCAGACAGGAAGGAGGCTTAGGGGAGGTGTGTGCCCTCCTGTCTATCAGAGACTTTGCATAGTGTGTCACAGTCCTATGTCCCAGCCCAAGCAGGATGCTCAGATGCAGGGCTCTGCCTGCCTCTCAAGCCAAGGGCTCCACACTCTGGGCCACTGTGAGGTGAGGTGACAGACTGCAGGGCTGAGTCCACAGCAGCCACATTTGCTGAGGGTTGGCTGGCTGTCCCACCATGTGCCAAATGCTGCATGTGAAGTCATTGCCACTGCAGCTCTGTGAAGAGAGACTCGTCCCCATTCCAAACGTGATGCAGAGGAAGTGATTTACTGAGGATCCTGCAGCCATTTGGTGGCAGAACTGGGGTCCAGACTCTGACCTCATGACCTCATGCCCAAGCACTGGCTCTGAGACACACTGTGGAGAGGTCACATTTGCTTGTGGGGCCTTTGGGAGTCTTACTCTAGGTCTGATCTCTACCTCAAGTGCAGGGCCTGGGGTGCTGCCTGGTTCCTCATTCCTCCTAGAGCCTCCTGAGTGTGGGCCGTGTGGGAAAGGCAGGAGCGGTAGTAGAAGGACTGTGGAACACTTCCACAGGACACTGACTTGTTCCCCAGGCCGTAGACCTGGGTAGTGGGTCTGACAGCAGAAATCTCCCAACAGTGGAGCCTGCCGCGAAGGCATGTGGAGTGAGGCACTGCACCAGTGCACAGTGAGGAGCAGGTGACACCTTGGGCTGGTGGGGCTCTGGGTGAACAGGGAAGGGCCTGGCCAGCAGAGGGCAGCCTTTGAGCTAAGGGTCAGTCCTGAGAAGGACAATGTCAAGACACGGAGGGACTCGAGTTTCCGGGGAAATTGCTGGATTTGTTTTGCATGGTGCCAAATATGAACTCAAATATTTGCTGATGTTATACAGGCCCCTGCGTGCTACTCCGGGAAGTAGCCAGGTGTCCGAGGGGCCTCGAGCACCGTGTAGCTCCCATCTGCTCTGCCTTGCTCTGTCAGCACTGCCTGCCACTCCTGCAGTCAGCTCGCTTTGGAAGGGCCATGCAAGGCCCTGTCTCCTTGGACCAGCTGCCAAAGCCCTTTTTCCAGGACGTGATGCCTAGGCTTTGCAGGGGGTTGTGTGGAGCAAGGAGAACAGCTTTGAACTTGGAAGCATTGCTCTGGCCCCAGATTTGTCTTAGACATTGCTCCTGCTCTGGAACTCTGGGAGAAACCCAGAAATAAACCCAAGCCAACCCTTGCCATTTAGGAACTCTGTGACAATATCAGGTAATTTTCCCAAATTCTCTAAGTCTCATTGTCTTTTTTTCTGTAACCATAGGCTAAGAAAGGGTCCCACTTCTAGTGCCAGTGGTTCATGAAGATCAATAAGAAACGAGCTGAACAAAACTGTGCCATAAAACCTCCAGAAACATCCCCACAGTAGACTCATGGCCTTGTCATGGAAGCTTTCACCATCTTTCATGCTTGAACTGTGAATTTAAAAAATAAGCCAGGTATGGTGGCAGACACCTATAGTCCCAGCACTCAGGAGATGGAGGCAGGAGGATCACAAAGCCAGGTAGACATAGCAAGTCCCTGTCTCAGAAAATAAGAGCCCCTCCAACTAAATATGTATCCATTGTATACAGTTTGGAAATACATAAAAGCACAAAGAAAAAGCTCATTTTACCACCTAGATTCTGTTTTTTCCCGTCAAGTGTTACCCCATTTTACAAATGAGTACACTGAGGCTTAGAAGCTCAACGTGTCTGTCCTGGCCTGGCCTGATTCCGGAGTCCCAGCAGTGCCCTGTCTTCCAGGTAGGTCTTACATTTGTCCTTGGTAGCCTTTGGGGAAAATGTTAGAATTGATGATAAAACTGGAAGGCTGTGCATGGGGGCTTATGTCTGAAATCCTAGTGACTTGGAAGCAGAGATTGGTTGAAGGTTCAAAGCCAGTGTAGGCAAAAAATGAGACCCTCATTTTGACCAACAGGCTGGGCATGGTGGCACATACCTTGTCATCCCAGCTACTGGGGAGGCGTACGTTGGAGATGGAGGTCCAGACCAGCGCAGGCAAACTGAGACCAGTTTGAAAAGTAAAGCCAAAAGGTCTGAAGGTGGTAGAGTGGTAGAGTGCCTTCCTTGCAAGCATGAAGCCCTGAGTTCAAGCCCCAGTACCACTAAAATCAGAACAAAACTGGGGGGGGGTGATTTTAATCATTAAGATATGTACACATTTAGTAATTGGTTATTTGAACAAAACCAAGAGGGTCTTTTGAAGTGGAGGAGGTGCTGTGGTCCCAGCACAGCTGACATGGGCTCAGAGGTTTTTCCACTCAGGCAGCATGCGTGATACCCCATGTCAGTGGCCAAACCTAAGTGATGGCTGCAGGTGAACTAATACAAAAGGAAGGCATATTTCACTTATACAATTTAAACATCTCACATGTGCTAAGTTACAGAACTCAACACTGCACTTGCGATTCATACCTATTTAAAAAAAAAAAGGTCTGGTTTCATATAAAATTATTCAGTGCCCATATTTTTTCAGGTCCAGTACTCTTTAACAAGTTGTAAAGACAGACTTTGTTTTTTCACACATACAATCTTAGTGTTAGGGATTTCTGTCCTCTGAGAGCATGTATGTGCTGCCTATTGTGACCCCAGCCTGCTCCAGGCGCTTCCCTCCCTGCTTCTGTTTTATGAGAGCGCCTTTTCTGCCTGCAATTATTTTTGGATCCAACATAGGACATATCTGCCTGGCACAACATGGGCATTCCAGTAACACTTATTTTCGGAATTAATGTGCAAACCTTCAACTCATCTTGTGCCAGCACTGCACTGGCCGCTAGGGAGGAGGGTGACCCCACGGCCTTTCCTCCCGAGACAAGGAGCCCAGGAGAGGGTCAGTGAGCAGGGGATCAGCAGCTGGGGGTGGGATTGCATAGCGCTGTGATCTTGGGGTGAGACAGGTTGTGAATGTGCTGCTCTTTCAGGATCAAGCACTCCCCTGTAATCTAACCTAGTAAGGTCAGATCTATGAGCCACCTAGTAAGGCAGCCACAGAAAAGTGTCTGAAGTGTGAGCTACTGTGATGCACACTTGGCAGGCTAGGACACATTTGCTTTGCAGCTTCAATTGTCACACGTGACAGTCTGGTGGGGAGTGTTCAGTCAGGTAACTGCTGATGGGAGAGAATCATGACACCTAGTCTCCTATAGTGAACCAAAGAACAGAAGGACGCCATCGCGAGGGAAGCAACTTGTTCTCAAACACCTAGCACCACTGCCAGTTTCACTTGGACGCCTTCCCAGTTGCAGAAGAACCCTGTCTGTGAGGACTGCTGCTCTTACAGCCCCAGAGAAAACAGCTCCATTTGGAGCAATCTACTGCTTCACTCTGGCCTTGATGGGCTGGGTGGAGGGAAGACCAGAATTGTAGCCAGGGAGGGGGACGGAAACAGAAGTCAAAGCTTTGACTTTTTTTTTCTATTAGGCTTGTGTGGTGTCATTCAAGCCACAGAAGTTAGAAAAGGAGTTTTAACTTTCATTAACTTCAAAAAGAATGCACTTTCAAAACCAAATTTATGTCATCAAAAGACAGTAGGAGTAACATTCTCCCAGCCAGCTGAGCCACCTGCACCGAGTGGGGTTTCTATATTTTTTAAAGTTATCTAGCACCAAAAGCCATGTTGTTTTTCTATGATCCATCTAAGTTTAGGAAGGGGAGAGCACTTTGTTGTGAACACAGAAGAAGTCAGCAGCCACTGCTGCAGAATTTTTGCACCTGACAAAAGAATATGATTGTCATTTTGTTTTCACTGGAAAACAATTTTTTTCATACAGATCAAATTCATTTCCTCAGAGGATCCAAGAAAATGTTTGATTCCAGTTGAAAACTGTGAGGCAGAAGCAAGCATTAGCAGTTAGCAGACCAAGCTTCCATTCATGGAAGAGGAAAGATGGAATGGCAGCTCCTTTTCCTGTTGATCGTTCCTGCTTCCTCCATTTTTAAAAAAAATTCTGCAGAAGCTAGTACTGATTACATACAAAACAAGGAAAAGGGAATTAGCAGGCTTCTAATTGAGACATCGATTCAGGACTACACACTTTCATAAATCCAAAGAGAATTTAATAGCACAGGAATTTTTTCATTGCTCAGCTATGAAAATATCTGACAGCTTTTTGTGAGTTTACTTTCTAGACCTATCTTCTTAATTCCATGTTTTGCTAACCCAGTTTTGTGCTCGGTGCTAATCTGGAAGCCATAAAATGATGAGATAAAAAATAAAGAGCTCCATCCCAAGCATCCACAGGCCTTTTAAAGAAGGGCAACAAATGGTACGAAAGGCGAGTGAAGGACAGAGTTTGCGGAGATCGCTGTGTTCTGCTGTCAAGGGTGTCAAGAGGGGAGGAAGGCTTTGGCCTCCCTAATCTTCTGCTTCACACCTCTGCAGGACAGCGTGAGCCCCGCGTGATGGCGCTTCAGGGATTCTAGGCGCTTGTTGAGAGCGTTGGTCTTGTCCACCTTCTCTTCCAAGTCCCGTAGGAGTGCTTCCTTACCCAGAAGCCCACACTTCTGGTTCAGCTTCATGTTGTCAACCCGCAGGCTGTCTCGGGCTTGCTTAGTCTTTCTCAGGACGTCCCTCCCTAGGGACACCTGAGCCTCGATTTCCAAAAGCTGCGTCTTCTTGCACGCATTCTCCGTGTCTATGAAGTGCAGCTTTTCCTTGATGTGGGTTATGGTTTGCACATTGTTGGTCACCTTGTTGCGTAGTTTTAAAAGCTCCTCATTTCGTTCCTCCACTTTCTCGTTGAAGGTCTGGTTCTCAATCTTGAGCTGTTCAAAATCGATGAGGAGCAGACCCTCGGCCAAGTCCTCCTGGGCTCGCATCCTGGTTTCAAAGTGCACCAGGCTCTGCCTCAGCTGCACGTTCTCCAGGCGCACGACGCTCATCTCCTTCTCCTTTTTGTCCTCCAGGGCCTGGATCTGCTCCACCTCTCGCAGGGCGGCCTGGCGACCGCCCCGCATGCGGCAGCTGCCCACGACCTGCATCACCACCTGCTTTTTGAGGGCCTGGAAGCGGCGCCACTCCTTCTCCACCCTGGCCAGCTTCTCCTGGCACTGCTGCTTCAGCTGGCCCAGCTCCTGGTGGTACCACTCCAGGTCGTCCGCCTCCTGCTTCTTCAGCTCCTCCAGGATGGCCAGGCGGTGCAAGTAGGCCTGCTCTCTCTCGGGGTCCTCGGGCTCCGCACCCCCATCGGGCGCCTCCCCAGCTTCCAGGCCCTTCTTCTTGCGGAGCGCCTCGAAGATCTTGTGCTGCAGGAACAAGTTGTAGCGCCGGTAGCGGTTGCGCTCCGCCATCAGGCTGTGGTACTGCTCCAGCAGCTCGCTGCGCAGCTGCTGCTCCTGCTCCTTCTGTACCTCCTCCGACCACTCCTCGTCCTGCCCCGGGTCCCCTCCCGAGGGCCTCCGCTCTTCCTGGCTTCTCCACTTGCGCCCTTCCGCGCCCTCCATCTCACCCTGGCTCTCCTCGCTCGCTCCCTCCTCCCCGTCGTCCTCCTCCTCCTTCCCTTTTGCTCTCTCAGCCTCCAGGACTGGAGCAGCCTCCTCCTTGCTGATCGTGGTCAGCTTCGCAGAGCTTCGGGAACATGATTCCATTTTCCTCCTCTTCATCACCTCCACCTCCTCAGTCTCCGGTTCCTCGGACCCATCTTCGGATGGCGGCTCGGCTGGCCCCTCGGGCTGGAGATCGGCCCGCCTCTTCGGCTCTCCGGGTTCGTCTTCGCCCGCGGCCTCGGTGGTCTCCGGCCTTTCCAGGGTCTCCGCCTGCTGGTCCGCGTCGGCGCCGCTCTCCCGAGCCTCTAATTCCGGCCCCTCCTCTGCCGCCACGGTCTCTGGCCCTGGCTTCGGCTTCGGCTCCTGCTCCAGCTCCAGCTCGGGCCCCTCAGGTTCCACCAGGGTCTGGGGAACAGAGCTGACCTCAATCTTGGTCGGGTCCAGGCTTTCTCCATTTCCACCTTCGACCTCATCGTGCTGGGAGTGGTCGTCCATCTCTGACCCGCTCGGTCCAAGCGGTCAGCCGCGGCTCTCGGCTGTTAGGTTTCCCCGGGCAACCAGAGGCGTGCGCGGTGGGCCCTGTGATTGGCCAAGCCTTCTCCTGACGCCCAGCCCCCACCTCCTGACAAGAGCGGACCAATGGGAAGCAGCGATTGGGACGCGGGTGGGGCTGATTGGACGCGGGCGCAGGTTTGCGCCGAGAGGGGCGGGGTGCGTCCTCCCAACTTCCGGTCCGAGCGTGGCCCTCTGCCAGGTGTGGGGCGGGGCGACGCGGGAAAGACGGCGGGCGCTGGCGGCACGCAGGCGCAGAGTGGCGGGCCGGGTGCCCGGGCGGGGGCGTGCGCGGGGCGCCTGCGCGATGCGGCGGAGCGACGGCGGCGGCGGCGGCGGCGGCGCGGCGGCGGCGGCGGCGGCCGGGCCGGGCCCGAGGGCGCCTGCGTGCTGAGGCGGGACGTGGCCCGGCTGACCGGCTCCGGCGGCGCCTGGGCGGGGACGGCCGTGGCGGCGACGGGCGGCGGCGCGGGCGCGGCGGGCCCGGCGGGCGGCGGGGCGCTGACGGCCGGGGGGGCGGCGACGGCGGCGGGCCGGGCGGCGGGCGAGCGGGGGAAGATGGCGGAGCTCGGCAAGAAGTACTGCGTGTACTGCCTGGCCGAGGTGAGCCCGCTGCGCTTCCGCTGCACGGAGTGCCAGGACATCGAGCTGTGCCCCGAGTGCTTCTCGGCCGGCGCCGAAATCGGCCACCACCGCCGCTACCACGGCTACCAGCTGGTGGACGGCGGGCGCTTCACGCTCTGGGGGCCCGAGGCCGAGGGCGGCTGGACCAGCCGCGAGGAGCAGCTGCTGCTGGACGCCATCGAGCAGTTCGGCTTCGGCAACTGGGTAAGCGGCCGGTGCATGGCGGTGCCTGTTGGCGCGCTCGGTGGGGCGCGGGCGCCGCGGCCGCACGGCCGGGAGGAGCAGGGGCCGCCTGGCGGGTGGCCCTGACAGCGAGCCCCCTGCCCTTCTGCAGGCAGCCCTGCCCTGCCAGGCCGCTGCTGGAGCTGGCTGGACCCCAGCTCTGCGCTGAGCCCGGAGGAAGGGTTGGTGGGGAAGGCCAGAGCCCTGGCTGGCCCGCCTGTCCCCGATGAGCTGATGCTGCCCTCGGGGCCCCGGAGCGCTCTCTGGGGGTCCGCCCCTGTCTTTTTGTCCCGTGGTCCCTACAACACTCAGGACCTTGTGTGGTGCTTGGCCAGTCAAGAATGAACAAAGGAGCCTGCACCGGGAGACCCGGTCCTGCTTTTGCTGTCTGTCGGGAGAGAAGGGGCAGAGCCAGACTGGATTCGTTTACACTAGTCACATAGTGTGCCCGGCTCCCTCTTTGGGAGAGAGAAGCGGCTGTTCTCTAGGGGTCCCGAAGGAGCTCTTTCCACTTTTCACCTGTGTTAGAAAGGAGACATCAGCCTGCACCGTCACCACTGCCACCAAGGATATGTGGTCACTTCAGGCTTTCTAAAAAACAGGGAAGCAGGATATGACCCTAATCTCTGTGGATTGTTCCCCAGGTACATTCGGGGCCCCAGCTTCTCCAAGCCATTTTCACCCGCTGTCCACCAGCCATGCTGCCCCTCCTGTTCCCACGCCTGCACTACATTCATTTTCTCTTCATGCAGTGAGAAGCCTTCAGGGACCACTCTGCAGCCCTGGGATCTTTATTCTCCTCCCTCCTATTTAAGGAAGGTGCTGCTGTAATTCTTATCCATGGCCGGCCTTTAAAAACCTCTGCCTTACTTTGTCTTTAAATGCTATGTGTTGGTGCATATAGAGTGCTTTGTGAGATTACCCAGTGGTGAAGGTTCCTGAAGTAGAGAAGCCATTGTTCTTGCCTTTAAACACTTAAAGTGTTGTCTTTATTTGCTCCCAGGCCTGGGGCTTCTTCCCTAAGCTGCCTTCCATGTCAGACCACCTATCTAACATCACAGGGGCCCAGCCTCACACCTTCAACTTAGTGTCAGGCTGTAAACAGAGCCTTCCTTCCAGTTCATCATCAGCCCCTCCAGAATATGTACAGAATCCAACCCTTATTTAGCAACCAAGTGCAGGCTGGTGTTTACCTCTTCCCTGGACCACTTCTGGTTGATCTCCCTGCTTCACTGTGTGTTCTACAGCACATCTCACAGACCTTTAAAATGTGAGCTGCATGCCTCATCAGCCCTAAGTGGCTTCCAGATTCACCTTTACTGCTGCAGGGCGTCCCAGTGCCCATGCTTCACTGGGACCTCATTACTTGCCTCCTTGATCTTTTTTTTCTTTCTTCTGCCTGGAGTATGCCTCTCCCAGTTTTGGTTCATGACTGATCTTTCTTCTCTAATACTGGTGCCTCAGAGTGTCCTCTCATCCCCACATCATTCCTCTAGAGCTTATTTCCACAGCAGTGGCTGAAAATAGCTGGCAGGACAGCACGTGTGTATCTTTTAAGTCTTCCCAGCAGGAACTTTTGGATGAGCTAGTTTAGCTGCAGCTTCTGTGCCCCAACCTAAGTGTCTGCACCCCCGCCCCAGCACTGTGGGAACTAAAACATACAGTGTAGGGGAAGAAACGGCTGAAAGTAAGGAGCTCTTTTCTGAAGCCGTGCTTTTCAAACTGCAGTGCTCTGAGGAGCTTGGTAACTGCAGATTCTGAGCGGTCCACATCTCTCAGCTTCAGAAGAGGCAAAGCGACAGGAGGAAGGTCCTTGGTGTCCTAGTGTTGGCCTGGTCTGGCCTCAGGGCTGTCCTGGGTTGCTGCCTTGCTGAGCAGACCTCAAGTGCTGTCCATGCTGTGGTCCTGACAGACTGGGGATAGCAGGCGCCCCTCTCTCTAGTTGCTTTCCCCTGTGGGCTTGGCTTCTGCACCCAGGGCACTGCGGCCTGGATATATGATCCCCATGTGAGCGTGTAGACACGGGTGCAGGAGTAACATGCACATTAAGGAAGCGTGTAGCCCGGGCCGCTCGTGAGCTGCACAGCAGCCCTGTGGGATGGGTTCTTGTTCTGAGTTGACAGTTGGAGGACAGCAGCTATAAGAATGTAAGCTCCTTGTCCAGGATTCCACAGCTTTGGCATGTGACAGAGCTGGGGTTTAACACAGGCCTGTGTGATTGCAAAGTCTGGGCCTTACCCACCCAGCCTAAGACCATTAATGTGGGTCGGAGGCCAGCAGCTTGTTGGTGCAGCTGGAGGTGGGGCTTTCCCCTGGGGCTAGATCCTGACCCTCTCCAGTGAGGAGTGGGGGAGGTTCCATAGGCAAGGGCAGGTGCTGGGTTTCACTGGCTGGGAGGACTGGAAAGAGGCAGTGTGGGCTTCCAGGACAGTGATGTAAGGAAGAGACTCCTCAGGTCTGACTTCAGATGGCAAATGATAATGGACGACCTTGGGGTTCTTCTGCTTTGTGTGGAACTCATAGAGGCATTGGGATCACACTGTACCAACACTGAGGTGTGGGGCCTGGAGGGAGTAGCAGGAAGCTGAGGAAAGTTAACCATTCTACTAACAAGATGGCTTGGAGACATGGACGGGGTGGGGGATGGGGGGAGGGGGTGGGGTGGCATAGCAGTAGGCAGGGAACTGGGGACAAGACCTTGGTGGTGAATGGAGAATTGACTAGCAGGCGGTAATCCTGAGGGGCACTGAGAGCTTCCAGGCAGCTGATTTGTGGGTTCTGCCAGTTGCAGGACACAGATCCTCTAGAACAGGTGAACGTCAACACAGGTGCAGTGCTGTAAGATAATCTGAGTCTGTGGTAGAAGAGTTGCCCACTTATTGGTTGGCTCCAAAGACATGAAACTGTCACACAGGAGGCCTGAGGCAGCGTAAGGCTGGCCACTCTGCCAGGGCAGCTGGGAGGGCCTTGGGGAGGGGGGCTCAGGCTAGCTCTGGAAGTATTGAAATCAGTGATAAGATAACTGTGCAGGGTCTCATGCCTGGGTCTGAATGCTCAGGCTGCTTAGTGGAGGCAGGTGGACGTCATGGGCAGTGGATTTTGCCTTTCTGGATGACAGTTGACATGCGTAGGCTGAGTGACACTGGTGTGCAGGTCGTTGACATGTGTGCATTCACTCATCCATCCATGGGAGCTTGTTGTGTGCAGCCTTGTGGCGAGACACTGCTAGGATGTCAGTTTTGAGACCCTGCAGGTGCTGTGTGGGTAAATGGGCCTCTATGTCCAGTGGTGGAAAGGACAAGAGAAGGTTGGCAGGTGCAGTGGTAGTGTGGAGGAAGGAGGTGTTTTGTGTCTTAGAAGACTAGTATATTCAGGGTTCAGGAAGAAGCCAGCTCACCTGATACGGAGGACTAGAGCTGGGGACTAACCCCATGGAGTGGTTGAGGAAAGTAGGGGAGCTTGTGTGTGGTCACAGTTGGAAGAATCTCAAGCCCCAGGCAGGAGGTGTTGACACCTGCTCCCTTGTCTTCCCTCTTCCCCCACTGCCTGAAGCGATGTCCCCTCTATTACGAATGAGGGAAGGGAACGGAACAACTATCGGTGCTGAAGGAAGAGGGCAGAGCTGGAATTTGGGCCTAGGTCTTCTGGCTCCATGCTCCATTGGGTCACCATTGACACAGCTGGCCCAGGGATCAGCTTGGCTGCTAAGCTTGTGTCTCTAGGGGTGAGGCAGAGAGCCACTTCTTATAAAAGGATCCCAGAAGCTCTGTGTTGGTGGAAAGGGTGGGTCACCACCAGTGGGATGTGTAGGAGTGGCTTTAAGGAAGGGCTGGAGGACAGAACCTGGATTGGGAACCAGCTAGAATTTATGGGCCTGTGCAGAGCAGCAGTTCCCAAACTTTCCTTTAGTGTGTGGGGAACACCTGGGAGGGCCCGGCAGGCACACATAATCCTGAGTCATCAGGCCGGGGAGGGGCATAGAGTGCATTTCTAACAACTTCCTAGGTAGCATGGGGTTGTTGGCCATGGACCCCTTTGAGAGCCACTGAGGCAGAATAGTAAGACAGGCCATTTAAAACACCTTCATTACTTTTTATTTAAGAATTGTATTTTTGTAGTAAAATATGTCACATAAAAACGTGTTACCTTTTGTAAGTGTACAGTTGAGTAGCATTAAGTACATTCATCCTGTTTAGCAGCCATCACCACCATGGTTTCCAGAACTTTCTCATCTTTCTGAGCTGAAACACCTTCCCAGACTCCTTGCTCAGCCCCTAGCAACTCCATCCTATTTTCTGTCTCTGAATCTGACGACCCTGGGCTATGAGTTGAATTGTACAGTATTTGTCCTGTCACTGGCTCATTTCATTCAGCACAGTGTTCTCAAGGTTCATCCATGTTGTAGCAGGTGTCAGAATTTCCTTCCTTTTAATGGTCAGATAGTTTTCCATTGTGTAGATGTACTTTATTTTATTCACCAGGTGATGGTCACCCCCGCTCTTGTGAACAGTGCTGCTATGAACAAGGGTGTGCACAGATCCCTTCCAGACTCTGCTGGCAGTGCCTTGATAGATATCTAGAAGTGAAATTTGAGAAACTGACATGTTCTTTTGCACAGGGCTGCTTTTTAAAGCTCTTTCTTAGGTAGCCACATCTCTCCTGTGGCTGGCATCACCTAGAGCTTGTGGCAGCTCTGTCTGTGGATGAGTGATGAGTTTTCTGAGTGAATTTAGAGAGAACAGGGAGCCCAGAATCGGGCTCACAGGGCTTCCCATCAGAAAGGGCCAACAGCAGAGGCAGAGAAACGGGGTCTTGGGGACTTCTGATACCCTGGAAGAATGGATTGCAAAGCCAGTGTGAGTCAACAACCTCAAGGGCTGGCCATGCCCTGCAAAGCGGATGGCTCATCTCTCCACTCTTAAGGGAGACAGAATGTGGCTGGAAGAATGAAGAGTCATATCTGGTGGTCCTCTGCATGATGGTGGCTGAGCTGTCATGCCAGCTCCAAAGAGCTGTTGGTGTCCCAGCCTGCCTCTGCCTGGTTACACTATCCTTCTGTCACCTGCAGAGGACCCTGGAAGGGTCTGTGTCTGGTGGTGTAGTGGCTTAGCTGTGAGAGGCATTGGCAGGAGTGAGAGGCTGAAGGCAGCTCAGTCTCAACCCATGGACAGTCTGTTGGAACCATGTTTAGTTAGTGGGCAAAGAAGGCAGTGCCAGGAGCTCCTAAGAAAGTGGTGGCCTGGGCCAGGCAGGTGTCACAGTGGGACGCGGAACCTCCTGGATCTCTTGCAGGGTCTCATCCAGAGGCAGAGTCAGTGGATGCTCCCGAGCACTGACTGCCACCTGGGGATGAGAAAAGGAATGAGGTAGAAGCTTCCAGGAGTGCTTTCCAAGGTTCCCTCTTCTGGGCCTGGCTGCTCTGTGACCAGTGTTTTGCACTCTGCACTTCCCCTAGGGAGACAAGTTCCTTCCTGTCCTCCTACTCTCAGGTGGATTCTGTTTCCTGTTTCCTGCTGACTGTGCAGGTGCCACCTGCTTCAAGCTGCTCACTCCAATGCCCCACAGAAGGTGGCCTTTTTTGGCTTCTGTCCTTTTAAGGCCTCTTCATTTGAAGAAAAAGGAACTGGAGTCGGGTCTCCCTGTAGAGAAGTAGCACATACCCACATCCCAAAGCCTGGTCCCAAATCCCTTGGAAGAAGAAGTCCAGCCCCAGGACAAGGGCCTACCTTGTCCTGTCTTGTACCTCACAGTTCAGATGCCGTGAAGAAAGGACAGCACTAGCGTCCCAAGTGACAGCTGGGTTACTGTGTCATTGCAGTTGCTGTGGAGCAGCACTGACCTGGGCAGGAAGGAGGAAGGATTGCTCTGTGAAGCCTGTCCTTAGTGCTTCTAGTGCCAGAAGCACTAGAAGCTGTGTTCACTGGGCCCCGGGCCAGGGCCCACAGTGCTTCTCCAATGGGCTGCTTGGTCCAGGAAGGAGCGCAGCGGCCCACGTTCAGCCTCGCGCTTTGTTACGGTGTCAGAAACTGTCCCGTGGCATGTGCTGTATTGCACACTATGAGAGGCATATGAAGGCAGATGGGCAGTGCTTGCAGCCTGGCTGCTGGGGTTGTAGTGGCTCAGTGTTGATTGCCTTTGTGCCCAGATGGAAGCGCACTCGAAGGCTTCTTTTCCTGACCTGTGAAATGAGGGGAATAATGGCTCTGCACTCTCACGAGAACCTCCGCTAGGACTCAGGGAGATGCTGCATGTCAGTGCACACCAGGAAGCAGCAGGACTGAGAGGCTCTGACAAAAGTGTCAGAGCCAGAATGTGCCAGCCCAGGACTCATCAAAGTCTTCCTGGAGAGGACCTGGGTCGTGAGAGTGAAGCTAAGGCCCTCTGAGTGGCCGGAAAGGTTGATGTGGTAGAGAGAAAACTGCCCGGACCTGGGCACAATGCCATGTGCACGCTCATGCACCTTGTGAAGCGGGTCCCGTTATTTTCTCAAGATTTCAGCTGAGGAGAAGCCCAGGGAGCCACTGTGATTTGTCTGAGTCACACAGCTAGAGAGGGTGGAGCCAGGCTTGCATAGTGCCTGGGCATGTGGAGAAAGGGCATTCTAGCAGGGCAGGCAGTGGCAGGACTGTGGTGTTCATCGGGCCTTGGGAGGTTTTGAGAGGAGCAGGCTGGAGTCAAGGATGCACCAAAAGGCACACCAAAGGGTCTGGCTGACCCTCACAGGTCAGTGATCCCCAGATTTCCTAGTCAACCAAACTGGAAAAGTATCTTAGAGGCTGACAGAGTTGCTAACTTTAAAATCTGCCACGTAAGGGTCTTAAAAAACCTCAAATCTCTGCAGGCCACTCCTTTCCTTCCTTATCATGTAATATTGGATGCGTGACCCAACACCCCCGATCCTCTGCCAGGGAAACCAGGACCCTGGCCTTACTGACTTGGGAAGCCCTGATGGTATGGTATGACTGTCCTGATCCTCCTCCTAGCATCAGACAGAAGCTCCTGCAGATGGCTGGAGAGGATGCATAGATCAGGGCTAGCTCTCCTGCTGGACTCCCCTCTGAGTGGTGGGAGGTGCTGGTGCCAGGCATTCTTGCCCTCCTGACACCTTGGTGTGGAGATGACCCCTACTTGTTACCCATGTGGCCTTTCCTTCCATTAGTTAGATCTGGCAGGTAGTTCTCCTGGCTCTGAGGATGGGAAGAGAATGAGCCCTACGTGGCCTATCCTCTGTTAACTGCTCTGGTAGTGGGGACCTGGCCCTGGCCTGCATGGGAGTCACTACAGACTGCAGCTTCTTCTCATCCAAGGGGGAGGGTGGGATGGCTGTCTCCTTTATTGGGGAGGCTCTGGGAGGGTTGCCACCAGCCCTTGATCACTCAGAGGGGTGTGAATATCCCCAGGTGAGGATAGTTATGACCTGCTGTGCTTTGGCCTAAATGCTACCTGAGAAAATAAAATGAATAGATTTGTTGCAAATAGTGACTTTTAAAGAGGAATCATTTATTTCTTAAGTCCAGAATCTCTTTGTTTTTGTCCTTATGATTCTCCAGGAGACCCTGAAGCTTGGTCTCTGGGCACCCTTCTTCATTCTCATTCTGTTAAATCCCACCCTCCCAGGTTAGTGGAGAGGAGCCAAGCCCTGCACTCCAGGCACATGTCTCAGAGGAATCCCAGGGTGAAGGATCAGGCACTGAGCCAGGCCTCTTCCTCTACCACAGTGCCCAGAGGGCAGCCCAAACAACTGGGCCACAGCCTCAGATTCCAGCTGGCCTTCATGGGTGCAGAAACCAGGCTAGGTGAGGTCAAGTAGGGGCAGAAAGCTGCTTGTCCCTCCCTCAGCCAGCTGCAGTCACAGTGCAGTGAGGCACTGCTGGACTGGAGCAAGTGCTGAGAAGTGGTGGCCGGGTGAATGAGTGTGCATTTTGGGCAGTTAACTTTCTGAAGTGGGTTTAGTGGTTGACTTTAAGGAAGAAGCCTCTTGGCAGAAGGAAAAGATCGAGGGAGTCATACGGTTTCCTCCCTTTGGGCTACCTTCCTGCAAGAGTGAATGCTTTCAGCCCTGGCATTGTTGAAGCTAGCTTCTTAGGTTGGGACGGGTCTCAAATAAAGAAGATCCCCACTGTCTAGGATAGGGACAAGCTAGCTCTCCCATAGCACAAGGCCAGGACAAGTGTCAAAGACAGTGTCTTGGCCCTTTCTGTCCTGGGAGAATGGCATCCTCTCTTGTGGTCTGGGTGTGAGTCATGGCCTTACCTTGCGCCCAATCTGGGCAAGGTGAGTGGTTCAGGCATTTTTCTGCCCATGTGTGTCTCGTGACACTCAGTCCCCAAGAATGCAGGGTTTGTAGTGGGGCAAAATGCAAGTACCAGGTGGATTAGAAGCCAGCACAACAAAGTACAGCTCTTAGGTGGGGGTTGTGACCTCAGCTCTGCCACCAGCTCCCCCATGACCCTGGGCAAGTTTGTAGCTCTGTGAATCTTCACTCTGTCAGGTACAAAGACAGGGCAGGGTCCTTCCAGCACTGACCTAAAGAGGAGATGTAACTGAACAGCCTTGCGAGGGTGGATGGCAGTGCTGACAGGAAGTACTCCTGTCAGAATGGAAAATCTTGGAAAATGTTAATGGATCTTGTATGGCGCCCAGGTGTAATGGCTGCCTCCTTGGAAATAACTTCCGACTTCTGTTGTTGTAGGAAGACATGGCTGCCCATGTTGGTGCTTCGCGGACTCCCCAAGAAGTAATGGAGCACTACGTGAGCATGTACATCCATGGAAACCTGGGGAAGGCCTGTATCCCCGACACCATCCCCAACCGGGTGACTGACCACACCTGCCCCAGTGGAGGTCCCCTCTCACCCAGCCTCACCACGCCCCTGCCCCCTCTGGACATCTCAGTGGCCGAGCAGCAGCAGCTGGGCTACATGCCGCTGAGGGATGACTATGAGATCGAGTACGACCAGGATGCAGAGACGCTCATCAGTGGGCTGTCCGTGAACTACGATGATGACGACGTGGAAATTGAGCTCAAGCGCGCCCACGTGGACATGTACGTGCGGAAGCTCAGGGAGCGGCAGCGCCGAAAGAACATCGCCCGCGACTACAACTTGGTGCCAGCCTTTCTGGGCAGGGACAGGAAGGAGAAGGAGAAGGCCCCGAGGCGCAAGATCACCAAGGAGGAGAAGGAGCTGCGACTGAAGCTGCGGCCACTCTACCAGTTCATGTCATGTAAAGAGTTTGACGACCTATTTGAAAACATGCACAAGGAGAAAATGCTCCGGGCCAAAATCAGAGAGCTGCAGCGGTATCGGCGAAATGGGATCACAAAGATGGAAGAGTCCGCAGAGTATGAGGCTGCAAGGCACAAACGGGAGAGGAGGAAGGAGAACAAAAACATGGCTGGCTCCAAAAGGGGGAAGGAGGACGGCAAAGACAGCGAGTTTGCAGCCATTGAGAACCTTCCTGGGTTTGAGCTTTTGTCAGACCGTGAGAAGGTGCTCTGCAGCTCTTTGAACTTGAGTCCAGCACGCTACGTGACTGTGAAGACTATCATAATTAAAGACCACCTCCAGAAGCGACAAGGAATCCCCTCCAAAAGTCGCCTTCCCAGCTACCTGGACAAGGTCCTAAAGAAAAGGATTTTAAATTTCCTCACAGAAAGCGGGTGGATATCCAGGGATGCATCCTGATTGCAGAGCGATATAAAGGAGCTTGTGAGCCAAATGACTTGGGGGTGGGGGGAAAGCGCTTTCCCCCCATTGTTGCTCTTTTAAACAAATTGAGTTCCTTTTTCCAAGGTATGAATTCTTTCCACCATCCTCTGAAAGAAGCAATAGTAACGACCTTACTTTGGATCATGGGGGAAACAAATGCGCATCTATTTTAACTTATCCTAAAAGTAATCCTTTAAGATGACGATTTGCCTTTGCGTGTTCCGTTTGAAGAATACTACCAGGTTGGACGATTGCCTTTTGTTTTGTGAGCCTTCTTCCCTTTAGGTTCAAAAGTAAGTGTGCTGTGGGTGCCAGGATCTAGGTTTTCCTGCCATCACCTTTTCCCTGGTGACAAGCTCTTCTCAGGTGAGCTGCCGTCTGTACCCCTCTTCCGAGCCCACTGCTGCCCCAGACGACACCTTAAGTGCAGCCCCAGCACGCAGCACTTTACTGGGAGGCAGGTGCACACAGAGCCGTCCACTGTGGAGGCCAGAGACCACCACCAGGTCCACTCCCCACTGAGCCACTGAAGAGGAAAAGCCCCTCGTTTGCACAGTGACCACATAAACTTGCCCTTGACTACTGGCACCAGCGAAGTGTGAGCTTTGGGTTCCTGCCCCTGCCTCATTGTAGAAGGGCTAGCCTGCTTCTAGCTTTGGGGAAGAGTGTTGCCCTGGGCAGGCTCCCTTGTCCCTTCTAATGCAAAAGTTGGTTAGTGGGAGGGACCTGGACGAGTGGGACTGCCAGATTTCCCAGGGCTGCCCATTGCCACTGTGAGTGCCTGTAGCACATCCTACTTGGAAGATCCTGTTTGAGAGTTCAAGGCTAAGTGCTCAGTGTTCCATGTTTGGGCATTAGCTTCCTCAGGATTTTCATAACAGTTGTAAAATATGACCATGCTACTTGGCTAAGTGAATTGTTCAGGGTGTAGCCACACCGACTTCGCACTAGCCGTGCAGAGCCAGGGCCAGCTCACGGGGGCTCTGGAGTGTGGAGAGCACCCTGGCGGTGCCTTGGAGCCCATGTGCTGCTTCTGTTCACTGTCTTGAAACAGACTCAGAAACGGCTACTTCCCAGCCTGACTGAAAAGTTTGTTTCTGGGCTCCCTTCAAGGATGTACACGGTACCTTCCTTCTAAATTTGAGGAAGGCATTTGTCTTCCGGCTGCTCAGGGTTCTCACGCCCAGACCCTGCTTTAGAGTCCCTGGAATGACCGCAGGCCCTGCCCCTGTTCCTCCCCAGCTCATCCTACCCTTCTGCCCCCATAGGTACAAGAGCCTGTTTACCTCCCAGAATGGTGGGGCTTGAAGTTACAGTGAAGTTATGTTAAAGAAAAAAACCACCTCATTTCCAAGGATGACTTGATTCCGTGCCTTTTCATTTTACATCTTGTCCCTTAGGGTAAGTTTTTCAGCATTAAATGAACCATTTCAAATATACTATCTATGGCTTTAGTTGTGAAGTGCACTGTGGGCAGGTGAAGCACCTACAACTATTGGCTAGGCCCAGATTTCTCTTGACACCAAAAGATACTGAGCAGTGGCATCACTGAGGGTCAGCCCCACGCTGTCCCCTGCAGGGTAAACCAGACAGAAAGCTGGTGTCATCGCTGACCAGCCATGGAATGGTACTAAGTTCTTAGTTGTCTTAAGTGAGTGGTTCTCAAAGTGGGTCCCTGGGCACTTGTTAGAAATGCAGAATTGGGCTCCACACGCCCAAATTGTGGGGCTGCTGTGGAGAGGACTAGCAGGCTGTTCTTCAAACCTTCTAGGTGGCTGGGGTGCAAGTTCAAGTTTGAGAGCCACTGACTTTAGTTGTCTGGTGTTCTCATTGATCTTCTATACCAGAATCCTAGTTTGGTGAGGTCTTAAGTTTAGTCTTATTTTTATATAAAATGACAGCCAGACCTCTAATAAGTGCAAAAAGCAGAGGGTCCCTGTTAATGTGTGGCCCAGATCAAGGGCTGGCAAACAAAAAAACTGCTTAAGCACGTTTGTACTGTGCAGATCTCTTTGATGGTATGAAGAATTTATTTAGGATTGACTTTTAAAACACCATAATGAATGTATAATTAATTTATGTTGAAGTATTAATATGCTGTTACAAGGGAAGTAATTTTAGGATTGGTTGCCTCTTCCGTCTGCTTCAGCTGTTTTTGTCACATTAAGTCCTTACTCTACTCTTAGTTCAGAGCCTGACGTTTGTATTTAATTCTCATGATAAATTACTTACTAGAACCCCATGGAACTAGGTCTTTTCAAAATTTAAACAAATTTTGGGTCAAAAAAGTTAGGTATTTCTTGAGCTATTTAATGTTTTCTGGGAGGCCAACATTCCAAGAATGTATCAAAACTGCAACTCTACCATTTTTATTGCCCTTTTACATATTAAATGAGTTGAGAAAAACAGTGTCACTGCTTGTTCTTCCCGTGCAAGTCTCATAGAGTAAGTCACACTCCAGCCCAGGATACAGACCTGCCCAGGCACTCCACCATCCAGCCAGATTCTCCCGCAACGTGGAAATCTCCTGCCAACATGGAAAGCTGCTTTCTGCTAAGCAGAACCATTTTGGGCCAATCCCCGCCCTGAAAGCAGCCTTCCTGGTTCCAGTTCTCATGGTTCGTAAGGCACAGATGACCTTGCTGCAATCACACAGCTCCCAGGTCACTTGACTAGCATGCTAGTCTACCTTTTGTGGAAATGTGTGTGTAATCAAAAGATGTTTTCCCATTAGTGGTGACTATGGATGACTGAGACTTAACTGTTAAAAAGTTTTGCCACATTTAAGCTACAGTCACCCCTGGAATTGGTTCCACCTCAGGAGCTTAAGTCTCCTATAAAATGACATTGTTAACATGACACGCACATCCTCCTGTAAGCTCTGAATCATCCCTAGATAATTGGCTTACAACCTGATTCAGTGTAGATGCTGTGTGCACATGTGGCTGGGCTGCGGCTTTTCTCCTGAATGTTCCTGATCCGTGGGAGCTGGTTGAATTGGTGGATGTGGAGCCCGTGGATACACCTTGTAGTGGGTTGAGTGAGGTGCTTCTCAGCAGCCGTGGCTGAGGAAGAGGACCAAAGACTCGTGGAAATCAGCCTTACCATAACTTTCTCACTGGGGCTACAGAGCATGAAGAGAAGAGCTGGACCCAGTCCTGCATCACCACCAGTGTGCTAGACTGCCCTCAGTTTTCTCATGTGCTTTTAGCCAGATAATTCAAGGGAGTTTACAAGAAGAAAATGTGTAGAGAGTGAAAGTTGAGATTTTAATTGTGGGACTATTATGTGCCTCTTTTCTTTTTCTTTCCTTCCTGGTACTGGGGTTTGAACTTAAAAGCCTCAAGCACTCTACTACTTGAGCCAAACCCCTAGTCCTTTTTGCTTTAGTTTTGTTTTTCAGATACAGCCTTTCTCTTTTGCCCAGGCTTGCCTCAGATAATCCTTCTACATCTGTCACCCAAGTGACTAGGATTACAGTCACCATGCCAAGCCCCCACCCACCTTTTCTAACAGTGAATGGACTTGCTGTCGCATCCCAACAAAGGCAGTGGAAGAGAGGGCTACCCTTATAATAGGCACATCAATTATTCAACTAGATACACATGAAAACGAGGGCAGGGGCCTTTCTGCTAGAAGCCTGCAGTCAGCTTCGTTTCCGGCTGTGACTCCCACGTGTTTCCACTGTATCTCCTGTGGTTCTTCTAACAGGCTGCAAGGCCAAGGCATCTAACTGCAGCCTAGCCCAGGCTGTGCAGCCACCTCTCTTTTTCTTGCTTTCAGTGAAGGGCAGCACCTGCACACCATGCCTGCAGCTGGGCGAGGTGGGGAAGCTAAGCCATATTACCTTAGGAGCTCCAGGGTCTGCACCAAAGGACAAGAATCCATTGCCAGAAATCAGGAAATCACACTAGGCTTTTAGTCCTCTTAAGCCTAAAATTTAAAAAGTACTATTTAAAGCACAACCTGTGGTCTTTGTGTCTCACTGATGTCCACATACTATGGAGTGCACCTTGGGGCCATTTGTAAACAGGAAAAAGGACTGATTTTTGCTACACTGATTGGCAAAAATAAAGGTGATGAGATGCTCAAGTTTCTATCTTCATTCCTACCTCCACAGAAAAGCTAAAGGCTACTTCTAAAACTAAATACTAATTACAAACAAACTTCTCAGAGGTCACAAAAACCTGGTTTTTGAACTCAGCCTCACACTTGCTAGACAGGGCTCTACCACTTAAACCATGCCCCCCAGCCCTTTTTGGTCCTATTTTTCAGATAAGAGTCTCAACATTTTGTATGGGGCTGGCCTCAGACTATGCTCCTCCTATGGATCCCCAGGAGTTGTACAAGCAAGCACCCACACTTGCCTTTGTTGGTTAAGGCAGAGTCTCGAGTTTTGTCTGAACTGTCCTCAAACCAGGATCCTCCCAATCTCTGCCTCCCAAGTCCCACAGGGATAGGATCTCAAACCAGCCCAGGCTGGTCTCAAACTAGAGGTCCTTCTCCATCAGCCACCAGGGCTGGGATTACAGAAGTTCATCATCACAACTACCCTCAAACTTTCTTAGCAAGAATAATGTTCCCACTCTGGCCTTTGCTTCAGTGGTCTGTGCAGACAGATATGCCCAAGTAGCCAAACTGAATTCCTAAAGACCTTTTATTTGTTAAAATACATAGCAATCACCTGGGTTGAGAAGACACAGCTTTATCCACAACATTCCAGAGGTGTCCTACAGCCCTCTCCTGGAAGTACATGGAGCTACATGGTGCTAAAAACCAGTGACTAGGCTCCCAGATCAGGACTCTTTAACATGGGTGGCCACGCAGCTTACTTTCCTGTTCCACCAAGGCTGGGCAAAGGTCAAATGCATTCACAGATGAGAAAAGGTAAGAGTTGTAGCAAGTGACCCTAAAAGTCCAAAGGTTTGCAGGAGGCAGCTATGCTTCTTTCACTACCCCCACCAGGGCGGGCCTTAGGGTGCGCCCATGCAGCTTGTACCCCACCTTGCTAACCAGTGCCACTGTGCCTGGCTCTTTCCCCTCCACTGGTGTGTGGAACAAGGCCTCGTGTTCATATGGGTCGAACTTGGCTCCGACAGGGTCCAGCCTGAGTAAGCCATGCTTTGTGAACACCTTCTGAATCTGGACCTCCGTCATCACCAGCCCCTCATACAGGCTCTTCAGGTGAGGATTGTCATCATGAAGCTCTTCTTTTGGTATGCTCTGGGTTGCCTTCTCCAGAATGTCTGCCACCTCCAGCAAGTCCTTGCAAAAGCCCTGGATACCTAAGCCAAGTCAGAGAAAAAGGATGACACATTTGGCATCCACTGCACAGGCGCATCGAATAGCTGTTAATGACACCTGGTCAATCACTCCTCTGCCCCAGAGTCTCAATACCTCAATCGTTACAGAACAATCTCCCAGACCCCACTGGTATCACTACAACGAGGGAGGAAGGAAGCACAGGTGGAGGGGAAGATTTAAGTTTAAGATGCCCTCGAGACTTCAAGCAAAAGTGCCAAGTAAGCAACAGGATCTAAGGGGCCAAGCTCAGGAGCTCCTGCTGGAATAGAGACCTAACTGCAAAGGCCACTAAAACCAGCAAGTGTGGCAGTCACCCAGTGGGCACAGCAGATAGGCTACCAACCAGGAGGAGTAACTCTGGGAAAGGGAGGTGACAGCAGCCAGGGAAAAATCCCAGGAGAGCTTCACTGTCTGTGTTGGATGTGGCAGGAATATTGAGCTGGACTCTTCTTATTCCATCTGTCTGGGCCAAGCATTTAACCTCCTACTCTTGAGCCCAAGGCTTCCCATCTGTAACCTGCCGGAAGGTTGTGGAGAGACAGCAACAAGTGCTCAAGAGACAGCCTCAGGTGAAAATGCTGGTGCCACTACTTAGTAGTTTTGTGATTCATGGCAAAGCATTAAGCCTCAATTATCTCTACCACAAAATTGGAAGCCAGTGACAAAAACCTTCGAAGTTGACAATGCAGACAACACACTGGGAAATCTGACAGTTGGCAAAATCCTGGATCCCGAGCACCAGTCAAAACTGTGCTGACTCTGTCCCCCAGCAGACAGCTGTGCCAGGGACACATGGAATACTGATGGCTTGTCCCCGCTGCCTGGTTGGCTTCCTTCCCCACAGATACCATTTAACAATGCTCACTTACCGTATAACTTTGCTTCTTCCACCAGCTTTTGGCTCCTTTGCCGCAAGTTCTCAGTATCTGCCAAAGCTCGTTTATATTTTTCCTAAAGGAAAAAGATTCATGAATTAAATATGGAAGAAGTTTGTAAACAAAACAAAACAAAAAAACAAAAAACACCCTGATTTGGAAATGTTTACAAATTCCCAGTAAGTCAAAATCCAAAATTTGTCATCACTTCTGAGAACGTGGACAAAAACAAGAGAGCTTAAGAAGAGAATAATTTGCCTGACAGTATTTCTAGTGAGTGGGGAGTGACATGAGGCGGCCATGGCCCATCCCTCTCCAAATACATAGTGGGCAATGGACAAGAGGAAAATCCTCCCTGTGCTAATGATCTGTCACTACTGCAGGGAAAGCCTCTTAATTTCCCCAGCAGAACCCCCAGCTTCAGGGGGTCTGAGCAACTCTCTCTGGGGGCCACCTGCCTCCAGTCCCCAGTTTGTGGGAGGGAAAGGATGGCCCTTCTGTGTTTTCAGTGTTGCCGAAGAGGCTCGGTGTGAATGATGTTTCATGATCACGAGGCTTAGGGCTGTCTCCATTTCTTGCCACTTCCTGCAGGCACCCCATCTCCTGAGCATCTCCACCTAACACCTGCTGGATAACTGGGGGTCTCTGGCTTCAGTTGCAATGCTGTGGGCTGGCAGCAGGGCTGGAAGGCACACTAGCCTAGTACAAACGCTGGGTCCACAGCCTGAGAGCAAGGTGACCTGAGGATGCTCCCTTAGCCTTTCTGGGCCTCAGTTCCCTCTTCTGTAATAGGGGTGTTAATAGTTTTCTCAAAGGACAGGGGCAGGACAGTGCCAGTAGTAAGTGTTTGGTATCACCAGTCTCAAATGCCTAAGGAACTTAATTTGTGCTACCTCTGGTCTTTCAGAGTAACGCCCTGTATTACTAACCAGTTCATGAGATGACCCTCACCCCCACCCAGCTCCTGTACCGAGTATTCTCTGGTTCCTTTCTGGAGACTCAGCTTAAAGAACCATCCCGAGCATTCCTTATTGTCAAGACCACTTCAAGTCTTAATTCACTTAAGCACAGCATGTAAAGACTGTTTTCATGTCAGAACAAACAGGATTTGGGTTTGCTCCCACTTAGGCCATTAACTTGCTAACTGAGCCCATTACAGGCAGTGGACACATGACTGAATATTTCTGGCTTTGCCTTGTCACCAGTGAAACAGGACTTTTTATGTAGACTATACAGGAAACAACCTAGCAGTGCCCACGTCCTTACCACGGTCTCCCTCAGTTGCTCTTCCAGCTTCACCTTCTCCTCCAGGAGGATTTTGTCTGTTGAGGGTTGGTCTGTCTTCTGTTCGTTGTGACCCAGGTCCTCTTCAAGGTTCTGGCCATTGTTCTTTTGTTTGGTAGCTGTGCACAGCAACCGAGGAGAGGGCCTAAAGGAAAGTCCACATGTTAGAAATACAGACAGCTTTTTGTTGTGTTATAGTCAAACATAAGATTTTAGAAATTTGGGACAATTCAAACTATTTGCTATTGACTTTGGAGGAGGAAAGCCTGATCTCAGATCAAGTAAAGGCAAATTGTATAAGAAGCTTGTGTTGCCTAACACTTTTTGATCGATGACAGACCATGGGTGTGGTGGTGGCTGTACCAAACAGCCTGTCTGTAGCAGGCTTTTGTAAATGCACTCTGACAGCCCTGCAGCTACAAAATCACCTAATAACGGACTTCTTAGAAGGTAACCAACCCAAGGTTACCAGCAGTGGCTGTATCTACAGACCTGCAGCAATGTCCACCTGGGTCAGCGCCCTTAGCCTCTTCTTTCTGCACTCTTCAGTCTCTTCTGAGGTCCAGGTACCCAGAACCACCTCACCAGGGCCAACATCCACTAACACTCACCATCATACAAAGAAGGCAAGCTGTCAGCCAGGTGTGATGTTGCATTCCCGTAATCCCAGCTATTTGGGAGGACCAAATCCCAGCTATTTGGGAGGACCGTAGTTCAAGGCTAGCCCCCGCAAACATTAGTGAGGTCTCACTCAACAAATAAGCTGGCTGTGTTGGTGCATGTCTATAATCCCAGCTATGAAGGAGGCGTAGGTAGAGGGATCACGATCAGAGGAGCCAGAGGGAAACTGAGTCTCTGAAAACCTAGTGACTGTGAGAACTGTCACTACCATTCAGCTCTTGTGATGCTGACTGGGTGGTAACTTTCCTGGCAATAACTTCAAATACAAATCCACAAATGACTTCCACAAAAGTCTTTTGACACAAGAATTCCAGGAGCCTCAACTGCTTTGTTTCCAGGGGTTTTTGGGTAATTTCTTAAGCTCGAGTTCGCCTCTTCATCACCTTCACTGGAAGTGATCTTCACCACACCTGCCTGTCTCACCAGGTGAGTAGGCTCCTTTTCGGCTGTCCTTCTACAGTTCCTACCCAAGCTTTGGCTAGAGCAGTTTCTTTTTATTTAATCAGTAACTTGCTTCTAGCAGATCCTCCATCGACAAGATCAAGTTATTAATTTTTGGTATACTTTCAAGGCAAGTCTTTCAAAACCCAGAAGCCACAGGTTGAAATAAAAAGTGGCCGTGCGGGCACTGGCTCTTGGACCCTTAGCGTGGCCCGGGCATTTGTGCAGATCAGCTCTTCTCCCTGCGCGACAGGCTGCCGCTCTTCTGACCGCGCACCACTAGGAAGGCGGCGGTGAGGGACTCGAGGACAGTGGAAAAGCCCGAGCCACACAGGCCTTGGTCACACGGGGACTTTCCCGTGCTGGCCCTGGCCGGGTTCTGCCCCGCTAAGTGACCTTGGGCAAGTCTCGGGTTTCTCTGGTTGTCTTCGCCGCAGCGCGCGGGGGTCGTGGGCCCGCGCCAGTTGTGGCCGCGGACGCCCCTGCCCACGGCGCCTTGCGGCCCCAGCTTCCTGTCCAGGCGGCCACGCTCCTCCGGTCCCAAGACCCGTGCGGGCAGCGTGGACACAGGCCCCGGGGATACCGGCCCCGAAGTGGCTTGGGGCCCGCGGGCCCGGGGATTGCGGTTCCAAGGGTAAGGCTCCGGGGACGGAACGTGGGCCGCGCTGGGGGCCGCGACACCGACATCACAGCTCTGGCGCTGAGGCCGGGAGAAGCCGACGTTGGAGCGGGAGGCACTGCGGAGCTGCGCTCCTTTCTCAGTCCAGCGTCCCTTACCTGAGAGACAACGCCAAAGCCGGTAGACCGCTACGCGCCAGCCTGACGCACCGAGCCGCCATTGCTGCTGCCACCACCGCCGTCACTGCGCACGCACTTCGCATGCGCGGAAGTCTCCTGGCAGACCTCCCGCCCATCACTTTTCCTTAGCCAGTCCGTGACCACTTTTGCTATGATGGACAGACAGTAGTCACCAATACTTGCGAAGCACGGTGGCGCACACTTCTTCCTCTCCCCACCGGTGGGCGGAGTCTGAGGCCTCCGGCGCTCCGAAGGTGAGGAGGTGAAAGGTGAAGGGAACCGGGGGCGGGACGACGTCAGGGGAGAGCCAATGGGGAGGAAGAGCTCGGGGGCGTGTCCGGGCGGCGAAGCGCGTGGCGGGTTTCTGGTGGTCTGCGATGGGTGGTTCAGCCTAGCCCGGCTCGGGGCTCGTGTCGTCTGCCCACTGCCCTGACACCCAATGCCTTTGATGAGGAAATGCCGGGCAGGGTCCTGTGGCCGCACACCCGGATCTAGGACGGTGCGGAACGCTGAGCAGGCCGCAGAAAAGCGGTCTTAACAGCATCCAGGGGAAGTAAGGCTAACGGCCGGCCTGGGAAAGCCCCAGTCCCGAAGCCGCTGTCCAGAGGGCGGAGGAGCGGCGGAAGGGACAGCGTTCTTTATTTCTCTGCCCTCGTTGCAATCAAACAAGACCCAGGAAGCAAACGTGACAAAGCGTCAGCAGGTTTGCTGTTGGATGAAGGGACTATGAGTGTTTTGGGTTTTGCACCTTTCTGTTATCTCCGATTTTCTCAGAATAACACACAATAGCATGCTGTATTAGGAAAGCTTTGGGGACACCACCGAAGCTCAGAAATTCAGATATTTTGGTTAATCTGACCGAGGTCAGTGCTGCTTTGTCACACAATGAGAAAGCAGAGGTGCTGGAAGGAGGCGCCTTTTCTCCTCCAATCTCCCTGCTGCTCCCTGGGGTCGGGCCCACCGGGAGCTCGGGGCTGCCTCTGCTTCAGCTGGGCTTGGCTGTCAAGCCTGCAGTGCAGCCCCCGACTGCCCAGACCCCACCAGCCTCCCTCAGATCTGAGGACAATACTAGGGCCTCCCACGTGGAGTGCTGCCTGCCTCTTAAATCTGAGGGTTAAACCTCTATTTGGCTTTGCTCTCATTAAAACCATTTGTTCAACCCATGCTGACTGATCACCTGCTCCTGTTTGCCAGGCACTGTGCCGCCTGCAGAAGGATGGGGTAGCATTTACAAATCCAGCACATTCCACATTCTGTGGGACAAACGACCCCATTTTCTAGGGCCCAGAGAGAAGAAAAAGGAAGTGGGTCTGTTAAAAGGTCATTGAGTTTAAAAGACATAATTGAATATATGGAACTTACTTGGATCATGATAGAACATACCAGCTGTAAAAAAAAAAAAAAAAGCATTTGTGAGATGGTGAGTAATTTGAATGTGACCTGGCTATAGACTTATTGATATTTTTTGCCTGGAATTTTCTTTAAAAATATTTCAAAAAAAATAAGGATAGGTGAGACACACGTGGCAAAATATTGATAGTAGTTGAAGTTGGGTTATAACTATTTCTCCTTGTTTTGAATATGTTTGAAATTTTCTGGGATAACATTTAAAACATCTTGTCTTTTTCAATGACTGTTACCAAGTCACCTAATTGCTCTCATTTTGAATCTGCTTACCTGTAAAATGGGATCCTATCAATTCATTTCCTTTCTCTTTGGGACTCAGATGGACATCTTACTGCACAGAGATGGATGAAAGAGTTACAACCACTGTGTCCTGAGGTAAATAAGTACTAGTCTTCCCAGTGGTGAGACCACATTGGGGGGATTCTGACCCACTGAATAGTCCAGGGCAGTCCAGGCTGTATCCATTCTCAAAGCAGTGGTTTGGATGCATTGAGGCCTGCCTGTGCTGCCACCTGGTGGCTACGTAAGGAACTGCTCAAAGGGAGCCACCTCTTGGGAACCTACCTGGTCAGGTAGTTCCCTGTGGTCTGCAACAAGTCATCTCCATGTGGAGATGAAGCTACCTGTGTGAGAAGACTCCTGGATCAGCCATGTCCAACGATGTGCATGGGTTCCCAGCGGGGGAAGGTGGCATGTGCAGGCAGAGCAAACTAAACAACATGTGGTGCCCCAACAAGCGTGAGGTGGTGTTTACAAAGAAAATGTCTTTGGAAGGAGGTGGCACAAGACAGCTCAAAGCATGTTGTATGTGGGCGTGATGCTGTGTGCTTCAAGGACGTCCTGTGTGCGTCAGCCCCAGGATTCCATGAGGAGGTGCTGGGCACAGCCAGGCAGGGCAGTTTCCACGAGGCTGAGCAGGCAAAAGAAGGCAGAGCTTTTGCACACTTCTTCCCACAACCCAGCTTGCCTGGGCCGGGGCCTGTCTACTGCAGGACTGCAGGTGTTTGCTGCTACCTGGAGCTGCATCGTGATCCCTCAGCAGAGGCTGGGTCTTCATCCTTTTGTTGAATTTTGAAGTAAGCAAGTTTAGAAAGATGTGGGTTTGGTGGGTGTGGCAGACAGAATTCTAAAGATGAATTCCGTATAGTTCGCTCCTCCCCTCCTCCCCCATTCAATCAAACACTGGACTGGGTGCTGCTGTGCAAGGACTTTGCACTTGACATTAAAGTTACATGCCAATTAACCTTCAGATGCAGAGATTATCTGGTGGGTTTGACTTTCCCAGCTCTTTCAAGGCTGGGGGTTTTATTCAACTGGCAGCAGAAAGGGAAGTCAGATTCAAAGTATAAGCAAAGCTGGGTTCATGATCCCTTGTTTGAAAGTGGAAGGGTGGTGGGAGAAGGTCAGTGGGTGTCCCTAGGAGCAGAGAGCAGCCCCTAGCTGGCGACCAGCCAAGAAGTGGGAACCTCAGACCTGCAACACAACGAGCTGTACTCTACCAGCCACCCGAATGAGCTTGGTGGTAGGTCCTTCCCCAGAGCTGCCAGGTTAGAGCCCAGCCCAGCCACCAACTTGACTTTGACCTGGTGAGATCCAGACAGTAGAGCCTGGTTTAATTCACTTAAGCTGCATCAGCAGGCACTGCTTCTCTTCTCCACATTTTATTGGACTTTGGCACATAGAGCCAAGCTTTGTCTTAAACCTTGGTTCCCATTATCACCTCCATGGCCACCACCCACAGGAAGCTTGAGTTCCCGGAGCAGCAATTTCCCCACAGTGTCCCTGGCACATGGGCCTCAAGCCAAAAAGAATGCTCTTGGTAAGAAAAATACCACCAGGTCTGCACTCTGTGGCTTAAGTGGTAGAGTACTTGTCTAGCATGTGCAAGGCCCTGGGTCCAATCCCCAGTATTAAAAAGAAAAATACTCACAGAAGGGGCCACAGGTGTTCGAGTTGAAATTGCTTGCTGCAGACCTCACGTGAGGCAGGTTAGTTGGGATAATGGGCTGCACAGGGAAAGAGCAAGTGGAAACTTAACTGCGACTTCCCTGGGAATGTCCAGACAATAAATATAGCTGTCTGGACCTAGGGGCTTCCTCTGTGACTCAAGTGTCCTGATGCAGCCAGGGCTGCCACAGGGATGTCTGTGACCTGGACCAGCCAAGAAGGACAAGGAAGGAAAGAGGAGGTGACCAAGTCCTCAGCCCCAGAGGAATAGTAGGTGGGCATGAGAGGTCATTTGAATATAAAGCTGGTGATGTTGTGTCCTGCACAGCGGGTGTGTTGACCCCCAGTGTGTGGATAAAATCAGTCAATGGCAGACAAGAAGTCAGAATTGAAGAAGCGCTGTGGGTGAGGGTTGGAGGGAGGGGATGTTTCTCATTATGAAAGAATGGACGTTACTGTGGAAATTGTGGAACGCCAGCCCCCCCCCCCACATTCCCTTCTCTTGTCCTCGGTAGGATGGTGGGTGCCAGCACTGTCTGTCCTGTACTCTGCCCTTGGATTGATCCCAAACCCAGGGCAACTTGAGACCCTGTGAGACCCTGGTGAACAGCCTGTCTGGGTATGGTGGGTTGGTGACACTCGTGTTACTGTGAGAAGCGTGGATCCATGGTGGTTTCCCCAGCCGAGTCTTAGTGCAGTGAAATGGCATCATGGCAGAGGTGATGGGCACTGAGCTTCTCAGCAGCTGTGCTTGAGGGTGGAGGGGCTCCCTGAGCTACAGCTACAGCTGGGGCGCTCAGGACCTCCCCACCCACCATCCCTCCCATTGCCACCAGCAGCTAGGGGTGGCTGGTGCAGGTCTGCACAGATGGCCATAGAAGTAGCAGGTACATGCTACTGGTCTTGCTCTGACGCCCTTCTGGGAACCGAATCAATAGCAGCTGAAACCTGGGAAAGCTCCTTTCTCCCGCATGCAGAAGTCCAGGAGCAGACAGTCCCTGGCTCTCCTGGTGGCTCTGTGGCCCCAGGACCTTAGACGCCCAGGCTCCTCACAGCTACCCAGGATGTGGTCTTCATCTTGCTGCAAGGACGGCGGCGTCCCAAGTAGGATGGCAGAGCACAGGGACAGGGAAAGGATGTACTGTGGCAGTCTTGAAGTCACATGGCACACCTGGCTACAGAGGAAGCAGGAAAATGTAGTCTTTATTCCCAGTGGCCCACTCCCCCCTGAAAAGTCTATGCCTGTGGAGCAAGGGAGAGGACATTTGGGGACACTAGCAGCAGTACCACCCTGAGCCTTCCATGATTCGTCCTCTCTGGGTGTGGGTGACCCTCTCCTTTCTTTTATAACAAAGCCCCTCCCCCCAGCCCATTGAGCTATGACTCCATCAGCTATTAATCCACTGATGAGGTCAGAGTCTTCATAATCCAGTCAAGTCCCAAAGCCCCACCTCCCAAAATAATGCCAACAGCTGGGGACCAAGCCTTCAACATGAGCTTTTGGGGATATTCCAGCTCCAAGCCATACCATCCTGTGCTGCCTCAAGGCTGAATGATGGGACCCAAATATCACCATGTCCTGATCACTGACCCTGTGAACTTGTGATCACAGGTCCTTAGGAGAGGTTGACAGGAGGACTGGACGAGGCCACAAGATGATGGCCAGGGAGACTGGAGAGATGCAGGGGTGGGCCATGAACCAAGGAATGCAG